AATTGTTAGTTTAATATACTCTTTAGTTTGCTAATAAGGTATAAAATATGGATCTTAAAACTTCTTTAAAAATCTTCCCAGCCTTCACCTATACCGCGCTTATCCTTGTTTAGCGTTAGGTTTGGGTTTGTCGGCAATTTGTGTGGTTTTACACCCTTCTTTACTCCTATTTATATTCAAGGTATGTTCTCTATAATACGCTAAAATTAACTGTTTGCACCAATCTTTTCTTCAAATCTGCTCGACAACCACAGCGCTAAGAAAAGTAAAAAAGTAAATATCTAATATAATAAGATTAATATGATAGAAAGCAGATAGGTGGATGGGTTGAAAGAAGTTAAAAAAGGTAAAAGAAAATTTCCAATTTTATTCTAGTTAAACTACATCCATTCCCATTGGCTGAAGAGCTAGAAAAGGTTTAATTCAAATATAATTTCTCCAATTTTTGAAAACTTTACCTAATTTATATAGCAGAATTAGGGAAATGATTTGCATGAGATAGATAGATGTAAGGATTAGAAAATTAGAGTTAGTGGCAAGTAATATATTCTTGTAGATGCATAAAATTGGAAAAAGTTGAGTTTGTGGGTTGGTTGTTAAGTGTNGTGGGAAAGTTAGATTACTCCTGCAAGTAAATAGGGAAATTACACTTTTGTTGTTATTTGTTTTGTTTTGCAATACACAAACCTACCGAAATAACAGAACTTGGAAAACTTTATATATAGTGTACTCTACCATACTGTACTTTATACTGTACTATACTGTACTCTACCATACTGTACACTATACTGTACTCTACCATACTGTACTCTACTGTACTCTAAATACTGTACTCTACCATACTGTACTCTATATTGTACTCTATACTGTACTATACTGTACTCTACCATACTGTACACTATACATGTACTCTACCATACTGTACTCTACTGTACTACAAACATGCTACTTAAACAAAATGCCAATCATCAGATAGTAAAAACTTATTAGAAAATAGGAAATTAAAATTCCAATTTGGTAGTGCCGTTTGTCCAACTATACCGAGCATATACAATATATTTGGTAGTGTCGTTTGTCCAACTATACCGAGCATGTAAATATATACAATATGAGCGAAGAGCATGGCAGGTGCCACAAAATATTGAAAATTAAAACAATTTATTGGTCAAATACTAACCAATAGAATTGGAACCAGTAAAAAATAACTCAAAGGTTAAAATTATACTAAAAAAACTGANGTATATTATGACCCGACTGTTGTAGAAGGTATATTATGACCCGACTGTTGTAGAAAGTATATTATGACCCGACTGTTTTAGAAGGCAGCGAATAACGATGTAATTAGACTTGACATATAATGATTCCTCCACATCTATTTATCATTGCTACACAAAGCAATCCAAGATTGTGAATGTCTTTTATTACACTCAATGTAATAAATTAGTTATTTATAATTCTGCAAATGAGTATTTGGTGTTTAATATGTGCACGTTAAATTAATTCATATAATCCCTAATCCCTAAACAACAACAAATTCAAATAATATTCAATGTACAATCACATTGCCGCGCTGTTTAGTTGGAGATCTAAACTGTTGTGTAGATATTGTTAGTCTTGAACGCTTGATTTTGATATCCAATGTGGCCACTTTTGGAGGATAAATGCGCGCTTGTTCCCTTCAATTCAGCTATTACATGGTGCGATTACCAAGAGAAATTAAATCAATCCGTAGGTCTGCTTATTTATGATTTGAACAATCTTTGGATTTGAACTACCTCTGGATTTGAACAATCTTTGGATTTGAACTACCTCTGGATTTGAACAATCTTTGGATTTGAACTACCTCTGGATTTGAACAATCTTTGGATTTGAACAACCTCTGGGTTAAAATTCAAAAATCTAAAAACACAATTTCTTTAACGACTACTAAATCCAATTTTAAATTTAGTCAAATAAATTCAAATATAGTCTAATGGGATGATTCCATATAAAACACTTTAAAATGAAATCCATATATGGATGCTCCTACAGCTTGTAGCTTCCATCATTACTATCAAAATGAAAATTATGCTTTATTTAGAAATGAAATATATTTTCTGTAATTATAGTTCAAAATACCCCCGGCCCCTCACCTACTATCACAGTAGTGTATACCCTCTATACCCTCATGCTACACCGCAACAACCATAATTAGCTTGAACTAACTCCAGCTTTAATAATAAACATGTCAAATTATTAATCAACAATATCCTCCATTCTACACCCTCTCCTTATCCCTACCTCCACCCTTCCTCACACCTCCACCATCCCACTCTCCTCCATAATTTCCCTCACCGAGCTCTTACCTCCACCATTCATCTTGTGCTCACCTTTCATTATTCCTCTCTCCTCCATCTATCTCCTCGCTTTCATTATTCCCCTCTCCTCTTATCCACCCTCACCCTCGTCCCATCTCCTTTTGTCCACCCTCACCCTTTTCTTTAGTCCACCTTCACCCTCTCCTTTTGTCCACCCTCACCTGAACCCCTCTCCTCTAAAATAAAACATGTACAATGAGGTAGAAAAAAATATTGTATTATTGTACATGAAGAATCTTACCATGACATATTTGAGAATAAGTCTGAAGAATCTGAAGGTATAATTAACAAGACTACAATTAGTGGTAAATTGATAACATGAACAACTCGTGCGAAACGAGTCTGAAAATTGATAATTCGACTTTCTATTGTTTCAATTCAGAACTAATCTCTCTATGGCTGAATCACATGGAGGGACCAGCAAGTTTGATTAAACTGTAATTTTTTGTCTTCTATTTTTGTTCTTGTGGAATGTTTATAATTTTATTTAAACCTTCCCTAATCCTCAAAGAGCTACTGTGCTTTAACAATTAGGGGTTTCCTGGATTTTCAGAACAATTCATTGTACTACGAGGTTTCGTGAATATATTTATGATATTATATCATTTGGACCCGGGAGTATAAAGATTTAAGTTTGATTTATCTTGGTCTATAGATCTATAGAACCAGTTAAATTAAGTTCGGAAATTGTAAAAACTCACGACATCGAGGTTAGAGGGTAGGAAGGGGGCTGGGTTGAGAATATTGATGGGAATACAGTCAATGAAATTGTGTTTGGAATTTTAAATTTCCTACTGCACAGTTTAAATACTTTTCCCGGAATGTTTCCCCCTTTTTTATTGGTTCTCTGTGGTTTAAATGTCCGGGTTTATTGTGGGCTTTGTAATCTTCAAGAGAATAGAATTCTTTTAATCTAACCTAACATTGTAATTCACTAACATTTTAAACAGATTTAAAAGTAAGTCGTGTGTATGTCTCATTTCAAATAAAGCGTCAAAACCCCAATATTAAAAAGAATTGAACATCTCTAAGATTTCTTTTCTAAAAAATCAATTAAAAGTAAAAAAAAGACAATTAAAGTTAAATTTTACATTTCAGTTAGGCCGGACGCCATGGTCAATGGTCATGCAGAATAGTTTTTTGGTTTAAAAATCCTTAAAATTTGTTCTTTATGTCTTTTGTTAAAGGAAATCTATAGAAATATTAATGAATTTCGGCGAGACAATAGTTGAACCGCGTAAACGAAGTTGAACCACTTCTCTTCAGCTTTATTTGCCGCCAAAGAGAACTGGTTGAACCGGCAGAACATGGTTTAACTACTTTACATCTGGTTCCCGAATATTTTAAAGAGATATCAGTTTCATTGAAATTGACTGCACCCAAACCCCCTATTGCAGAGTTTTTTTGGGACACCCTGTATATGTATAAATTTTAAATTGATGTATAAAGCATGCGTGTAAAGATGGATTATGATTGTATTTTCTTCTTCTTCAGGATTTCATATAGAAAGATAAAATAACTTTAAAATGATATTTGTTGTACTCACATGAAGTGTAATTGTACACTATATTTTTGCTATACCTTGGCAAGCCTTTATTTATTAGAAGGAGGGGGGGGGGGTATTATACAAGCTATCTTCATAAGCTGTAAACTTCAAGAAAAGTGGTAATCTTGTGAATTATTGCTAAAATGTTATAATCCCATGAAATATACTCCCCGCTCTTGATAGAAGTGTAAATACAGAGTCCGTAAAATCAACTAGATTATATGGTTTGATTATACAAGATAGCACTTTATCACGCCGATACAATCAACCCCCTCAACCCCTTTATTTCAGAAATTGATTTTATTTTTGGTCATATACCAAATATGTTAATGAATCGAAAGCATATATACTATATAATATATATGATGATTAGGTAAATAAATCACTGGACCCCTTTCTCTGCCTCATAGTTATTCCATATGTTGTTCTCCATATTTGTATTGTTTCTTCAAAGCTTAGGAATGAAACTCGTGTAAACGTATCAGGATCTTAACTCTTTACAACTCCTTCTTCATCAAACACAAAACCTTTTAATAACTTTCCACAATTTCCGATTCACAACGGCATCCTTTCTGGAATTCACAAATCTTTTCTAGAATTCACGAATCCTACCTAGAATTCACAAATCCTACCTAGAATGCACAAATCCTTTCTGGAATTCACAAATCCTTTCTGGAATTCACAAATCCTTTCTGGAATTCACAAATCCTTTCTGGAATTCACAAATCTCTTCTAGAATTCACAAATCCTTTCTGGAATTCATAAATTCTCTCTTGAATTAAATTGTTTTTCATGAATTAAGGATTCAGAAATAAATTTGAAACCAGAGTGAAGAGCAATTGTAAAACAAGAACAATTCTAAAATGTTTCTTTTAAGAACGGAAATTTGTCAATTTCCGAAAAATATTTGTTTTACTTCCACCGACCGGATCCTCCCTTTGTTTCAACTACACGAAAAAACTACATCGGTTTAAAAACTCCCAAAAGAACACAAAAACTTAAGTTTTTAAACGAAAATTAAATTGCTTTTCTAAAAAAAAAGTTTACAGATATTGATGTAGCTTTAATTTTGTTCCAGAACATTCTCGAAAAAGAGAATGCCGCAAAACGTTACAGCCCCAAAAGTAGAAGTAGAAGTAGAAGTAGAAGTAGAAGATGTAGAAGTTGAAGTAAAAATTTTCGTCCAACACGTAAAATATATTATAGTTTCCCAAATACATTATTTATATCTAAACTTTACGTGATAAAGAAAACTACAGGTGCTGATGATTCGAATCCATATTGATAAATTGGTTACAGTCCGTTAGCCCCCTCCCATATTATAAACTGTATACATTACAGTTAATCCAAGAAATATGAAACAGACCAAAAAGGGCCGAATTTACGAGTAAAAAATAACATGGGAACTAAAATTAGAGACACAGTGAGGAAAGGGTTTCTGTAGGAGATGGTGTGAGGGGAGGGGGGAATTCACTTGAGAGGGAAAAAAGAGATTCTGAAAGAAATAACGAACAAGGATTCACTTGTAAAGGATTATGACAAAAATTCGTTTTCAAGAACACTTTTAAGGTTAAGGTTAAACACATTTCAAAAAGGCACCACACAAATAATGTGAACTTGTGAAGGTTTTAACATTTTAAAACTATATTCATACTAATGTTTTCCTTGCTAGCTTAGTTTAAACAACCAACTCATTTTAGAACTTTTAAACCGAGCTGAGAAAATGCTCGTGGTTCTACCGTATTTCCTAAACCGAGCTGAGAAAATGCTCGTGGTTCTACCGTATTCCCTAAACCGAGCTGAGAAAATGCTCGTGGTTCTACCGTATTCACAAATTTGAGGCAAATCGATTAATTGGTTAATGATTTATGCTCGTTTTCAAATAACTAGAATAATTATTTTTGAAAGTTAAACTTAGTTTTTTGGAACCTTAAAAAAATCCAAAAACCTTAAAAGTTAAAAAACGAACGAAGTTATTACCTATCATTTATGGAAATTAATTTTAGTTCTCTCGATCAACCCATATCCTGTAAATTAGTTTTATATCTAACTATTTTTGGGATATTCTATCATTCATCTTTATCTGTTACCTTTATTATGAAATGTTTAATGTAAATATGGTTTTGTTATAATGTTTTAATTGTCTTTTCTTGACTCTTAGTCTAAATAACAAAGTTCAACAAATATAGTTAAGACAGACCTGAATAACTCTGCAGAGTCTGGATAAAAAAACATCAAAATCACAAATGATTTCTACAGATATAATTTGTTACTGTGTACTACAGTCATAACCAGAAAACTCAAAAATAGGAAGACGACTTTGTAGAAATTCTATAGTGTTTTTTATGTTGTTAGAAAGCGAATAGTTTTACTACACTTATTAAATCGCAAATCAAGTGAGTTGGATCTTTTTAAACACACCAACTTCTGTTTCCCGTGCTTATTGGACTAACTTAAGTCCTAATTTGAGTTTAAAAGTTGAGTTTTCTTGTTATACCTGTAGTACCATAATCATAATGCATGTACATTCGTCGTCATATATATCAATACGAATCAGACGACTTTCGATGACCATTTTGATTTCTACCAAGTTTTTAAACAGAATGGATACACATAAACATGCATGTTTACATGGAAACAAAGAGAATATGTACAGCTTCTCAGTGATCTACGTAGTGTATTTAAGTAAATAGATCTTTGTACTTGAATTAATCTTACAAACCTAGTTTTATTTTTTTTTTAGTTCTGTAAGAAGGTTTCAAAGATTACAGCTATTGTTTTTAGATGCCTTAAATTAAAGCTAAAGGTTGTAAAAATTAGCAAGAATAAAAAAGAAGATGCTTGAAAATGCCTTTTTTGTTTAAAACATATTTCTTTTTCAATTTTCACACATCAAAATAAACTATGGATACACACACCACTGGCCGATAAAACCAACATTTGAAATGTCGTCTTCTGCTACAGAAACTTAAGCAATTCATAAAACTGAATAAAAGCCTTCTTTGATGGAACTTATAGAACGGATAAAGTTTTCTTTTCCGGCCAGGTAAAACTTTTTTTTTTGTTTTTCGTTCTTTAAAGTTTTTTTTTATATGAATTTAAACAATACATATTGATATAGATATTGCAGGTATGAAATTATTGAACCATGGTTATAGCTGCAGATTTCTCCGTTTAATTTATTATAATTAATAAACTGGTTCTGCTTTACTTTAACAAGCATTTAATAGAAATAAAGACGACGCTAATTAATTTTCAAACATTTATTTTTGTATTTTTTACATGTCAATCAAACTGTTTGATTATATTCATGTATGATATTGTATGATAAGTGTAGTTCTTTACATGCATACTGATAGAACGCGATATTAATTTTTTGCACACATGTGCGCAGTGAAAGTTAAGCCTTTTATGGTCTTTTTTCAGTAAAGAAAATATTTTATCAAGTATTCTTATTATTTTGTGAATATTTTTGAAGAAATTATTGGTTTATTTATTCACAGAAATATACGTGCATTATTATGAAGGAAAATGTGAAGATGTAATCATTGATATGAACTTGAGCACAAAGATGTAATCATTGATATGAACTTGATTATAAAGATGTAATCATTGATATGAACTTGACTACAAAGATGTAATCATTGATATGAACTTGATTATAAAGATGTAATCATTGATATGAACTTGACTACAAAGATGTAATCATTGATATGAACCTGATTACAAAGATGTCATCACTGATATGAACTTGAATACAAAGATGTAATCATTGATATGAACTTGACTGCAAAGATGTAATCATTGATATGAACTTGATTATAAAGATGTAATCATTGATATGAACTTGACTACAAAGATGTAATCATTGATATGAACCTGATTACAAAGATGTCATCACTGATATGAACTTGAATACAAAGATGTAATCATTGATATGAACTTGACTGCAAAGATGTAATCATTGATTTGAACTTGATTTCAAAGATGAAATCATTGATTTGAACTTGATTTCAAAGATGAAATCATTGATATGAACTTGATTTCAAAGATGTTATCATTGATATGAACTTGATTTCAAAGATGAAATCATTGATATGAACTTGATTACAAAGATGAAAAGAAGAAGAACTGTGTGCTGCAGTGTTTTCCTGTCCTGTTCAGTCCTCTATTTTCTAGGTTTGAAACTGAACTAAATATTATAGTAATTGTATCTAAAAAGTTTAACTTTTTATTTATTTTGTTATTCCATTCTATGAATGTATACGCTGTAAGCGTGTTCATTTTATAAAGTTGATTATTTTTAAAAACATACATTTTCATCAAAGTTTTCCTACAAAAAGTTCATGATATGAAACTCTTGCCGGTGGGACTCATAAAACTTTGAAATAGGAAGCTGACTGTGCAGTGTACATATACACCCTGTGCAGTGTACATATGCACCCTGGGCAGTGTACATATACACCTTCTGCAGTGTACAATTACATATATACCCTGTTCACGCATTGTTAACAGATAGTTCACATTTCGTCTTCCTTTTGAACAGTTGTATGGGTCCCAAAGTATCTATTTTTAGTGTCCTTATTCAACCTTTCAATCACACATGAAGAGGTTGAAACTATTCTGAACTCTGATTATTTCCAAGAAACCTCTCCGGACTCTTATCTTTATAATTATGAAAATAAAACAGAAGCAGAATCATCAGAATATTTACCACCGTTAGGAATGCATAAGATGACATGTTCATTTTTATTCTGATAGATGTTGGGATATTTTATAGACATCTATTATTTTTATCATATTATTATATTATTTATAAAATGTCCTATTTATGAAATGTTCTATTTGTGTAATGTCCTATCCATGAAATGGCCTATCTGTGAAATGTCCTATCTATGAAATGTCTTATCTACGAAATAGCCTATCTACGAAATGTCCCATCGTTGAAATGTCCTATATTTGAAATGTCCTATCTTTGAAATATCTTATTGTCTCTGAACTGTCCTGTCTTTGAAATGTCCTCTATGTACATATATAAACGGTTCTATGAAATGTCCTGTCTATGAAAAGTCCCGACAATAAAGATATTCTAAACAATTTACTTCAGGTTTTCCTTGTTTGTATTTTGAAAGAAATTATGTAAAAATGATAATGAAAAATTCAATATTACAAAAAGCAATGTTCTTTTAATTTGATCATCATATTCTTCAAAAAGATCGGCTGCTGAATCCAAAATTGATCCATCCTCAAGATGTTAAGGTAAATTATTGATATTTAATGTACACGGCGCCATTATAAATTCATGAAAAGCAAATTCCTGACATATAAACTCCTAAAAAAATCCTTAAAACCAAAGTCCTGAAATACAAACGCTAGAAATAAAAACTCCTGATATACAACCCCCTGAAAAATAAACCCCTCAAGAGAAAAACTCCTGAAATACAAAACCTGGAATTTTCTTTTAACCAATACTCGGCCGGGCGGGCCCCGTACCCTGTACTAGCCGAAGCGATATCCCCCCCTCCCCCTACACATAAATTTCCCTAGTAGGGGATCATTCATTTAATAGCTGTCTCGGTTTGCCTTGCCAAGTCTTAAATGTACTGTGCAGTACAGTCTGCTCTAGTTGGTTAATTGTACTCTACAGTACAGTCTGCTCTAGTTGGTTAATTGAAGTGTACAGTACAGTCTGGTCTAGCTGGTTAATTATACTTTATAGTACAGTCTCTTCTACCGGGTTAGTTATACTTTACAGTACAGTCTGCTCTAGCTGAATAATTGTTCTGTACCAGTACATGGTACAGTATGCTCTAGCTGTTTAATTGTACTGTACAGTACAGTCTGCTCTAGCTTATTAATTGTACTGTACAGTACAAGTCTCCTCTAGCTGATTAATTGTACTGTACAGTACAGTCTCCTCTAGTTGGTTAATTGTACTGTACATTACAGTCTGCTCTAGCTGGTTAATTGTACTGTACAGTACAGTCTGCTCTAGTTGGCTAATTGTACTGTACAGAACAGTCTGCTCTAACTGGTTAATTGTACTTTACAATACAGTCTGCTCTAGCTGGTTAATTGTACTGTACAGTACAGTCTGCTCTAGATGGTTAATTGTACTGTACAATACAGTCTGCTCTAGCTGTCTAGCTGGTTAATTGTACTGTACAGTACAGTCTGCTCTAGATGGTTAATTGTACTGTACAATACAGTCTGCTCTAGCTGGTTAATTGTACTGTATAATACAGTCTGCTCTAGCTTGTTGATTGTACTGTACAGTACAGTCTGCTCTAGCTGGTTAATTGTACTGTACAGTACAGTCTGCTCTAGCTGGTTAATTGTTCTGTACAATACAGTCTGCTCTATCCGGTTAAACGTCAGCCTCGCAACTGAAGTGAAAGGGAGTTTATAGTGCCCAGGTCTACTTAATTTTGTTGAATTCAAAGATTTTTTATTGAGAATTTTGTCTTTTCCGCAGTTTCTTGAGTTTTGATTTACTTCTCAACAAGCTAGATTTATTCTTCCAATTAGTGCGCACTAAATAACAAACTCAAGAAACTTTTTTTTTCTTCTTACTATTTAAGTAAGTTATTTCTTCTCTACAGTTTCAAAATAGTATTTTTCCAACTAATGTCCTCTATTTTATTTATGTATAGTCTTATGATGAAATAAATATTGGAATGCTGATGGTGAATACAGCTAATTCATCAGGAAATATTCATCAATTAATTATTCATAATTCATTATTCATAATTCATTATTCGTAATTCATTATTCATAATTCATTATTCATAATTCATTATTCATAATTCATTATTCATAATTCATTATTTATAATTCATTATTCATAATTCATTATTCATAATTCATAATTCATAAGTAAATAAAGATATGTATTGATTTATATATAAATTTTGAAATTAAATGGTAGAAATTTTAAAGTCAGTGGGGAATTGAAAAAAAAATTCTTGAATAAATGTTGAAAAAAATGTTTCAACAAGTCGGTGGTAGTGAGGGTAGTTTAAAATAAAAAAACAAGTTCTAGAAAAAATGTTAATCTATAGATTTTAAAAAGTCGGAGGTAGTGAGGGTAGACAATTGAAAAAAATTCATGAATAAATGTTGATAAAAAAAGTTTAAACAAGTCGGTGGTAGTGAGGGTAGTTTGAAATAAAAAACAAATTCTTGAATAAATGTTGATATAAAGATTTTAAAAAGTCGGAGGTAGTGAAGGTAGTGGGGAATTGATATAAAATTCTTGAATAAATGTTGAAAAAAAAGTTTCAACATGTCGGTGGGAGTGAGGGTAGTTTGAAATAAAAAACAAATTTTTTTTCAATTCCCCACTACCCTCACTACCTCCGACTTTTTAAAATTTATAAATCAACATTTTTCAAGAATTTGTTTTTTTATTTCAAAATTCCCTCACTACCACCGACTTGTTGAAATCTTTTTATCAACATTTATTCAAGAATTTTTTTTTAATTTCCAACTACCCTCACTACCCAGACAAAAAGCTAAAGCAATTCATAAAGAAAATAAAAAGGCAGTTTAAAGAATTTTAAAGTTGAATTTCTTGCTAATATTTTATTTTTTATAAAGATTTTTCCAAAAAATTCTCATACTTAAAAAAAAAAATATCTGCTAACTACCATGCATACCTATGTTTATAAAAAAAACACCTATTTTTCAGCAAAAAAAGGCATTTTATACGTTCACCGGGGTGTTAGGGTCTAGAGTTTTATGTTATTATCTATTATTTCAATTATTTCAACATCTTCTTCTTTAGAAATTAGTCATTGTACCATTTTCAAATCTCATACTAAATTTGAAGAATATTTGCACAGATTTTTTGAAAATATTTCTGAAATCTGTAACCTTAAACAGTATTCTGAAGTACAGTAGTACATCAATACACTTTATAGTTTGTAAGTATACATAATTCGAATTAATTACTTCAGCTTGATGTCGTAACTTTTGTTTGAGAAAGCGCAAATTTTCAGTTCACATAAACTCGATTATTTTCTCGTGTTTTTTTTTTATTTTCCGGGCCGCAAGCACATTTTTTTGTGACTTACAGGGTGTCCCACGAAACATGACAGTTGAGAGACGACTTGAAAGGTCCTCTTTGATCTTTAAAATTTGTAATACAGGGTTACCCTCAAAGGTTGAGAGGTAAAGACGACCTGAAACTGTTTAAATATATATGACAGTTCCAAGGCTACATTTTGTATTGTCTTGTCTTGTTAAGATCTTTTGTAAAGAAAGAAACAGATTTAAAGTTGCACGGTTACACGGAATCATAAATACTAGGAAACAGACAGCAATAGCTCCGTACAGTCGTCTCTGAAGTCTCAATCTTTGTGGGTAACCCTGTATCTCAGGTAATATTAAAAGCACAAAAAAGGCAGGCCACACATTGTACTATAAGGGGTATTTTTATTATTGTTGCTAGAATCTTGCAAATAAAGAAATGCTTCAAATTATTTCAAAGATCTAAGATGACATTTAAGTCGTCACTTTACTGACATGTTTCGGGGGACAACAGGGATTTCCAAAAAGATGTGTTTTAATTCCTTAAACTAACAAAAGATAGGGATCGAGCTGATTTTTATCTGAAGACATTCTAAACAACCTTTTAAATAGAATGATACAAATTTAATATTTCATTTTCTGTAAATTAGATTTGTCTAAAAATTTGTTTTTCAGTGACCGATAAAGCAAGTGCTGAAACCTGTGGCCATATTTTCTTCAAAATCATCGGGAAAAGGCTTTCTCAGGATATTATTATGGTAATATCAGGAGACGCCAGTTTCAGCCCATGATTATGTTCCAAACCTGACAATTAGACAAATATTTTGATCAACATTATAAAACCTCTTCTGGTGTACAGGGCAAATTTTAATAAATGAAACTATTTACTGCATATCATAAAGCATGCTGATAACCAAAAATAACAAATTTTCTAATGAATGAAAACACAAAATACAGTCTGCTAGATAAATATTGAAGATACAATTTAAACAATGATTTTTGTTTCTACAGTCTAGGTTCTGGAAATGGAGAAGGTTAAGAGCTCTAAAACCACTACACGTCTCTTTTGTAAACTTGAAGGTTCACCATTTTTAACAAATTAGAACGCTCTTTATAAGTTTAATTGAAAGACCTTTACACATAATCTTTAAGTATTTTTAACCAAATTCATAAATCAGTTTTTTGTTAAGGAAATAGTTTCTGCTAACCAGGAGAGTTTACAAGAAATGAAAACTTGGTCTTGGCAGAGTAAAGATAAAGAACCTGATAAGGAATGTCGTCTTCTATTTTTCCGAAAATTCTTTTATTCTCATAGAGGTTGCTCATTATATATATTAATGAACCGGTTCAGTGGTTGCTATGTGCAGTGTACGATGAAATTACTTTATGGGACGCCGTTCTAATTTCAAGTGACCTTTCAGTTCAAAAAAAGAGCATGACGGATTCACAACAGTTTACCTTTAAACATTTATAATCAATTTTTTAATGTGGAATATATCGTTGTTTTTTGCTTTAGTGTTTAATTCTAACCAGTTTCTATGTTGTTTCAGAAGCAAATATGGTCAAGTCACTTTTAAGTAACGTCACGTCCCTGCAAAGTCTCTTAAAACTTTTGAATTTTATTCTTTTAAAAAGAAGACGACATTTAGTACTTGAACGACTTATTTTTTGTTGCACCCTACTACCACACTTCTTTTAAGCAGTTAGACAAACTTATTTTCATTGATAGTACAGATTTAGGTAAAGCATTAGAATATCTACAGTAATAACCAGAAAACAATGGAATGGAAAGACGACATTATAGCAATACTTATGTGTATTTGATATTGATGCAAAGCAAATAGTTTTACAAGACACTTATTAAATCACTTATTTAGTAAAATGGGTCTGTTTACTCTGCACAATTGCTATGTCTCATGTTAATTGGACTTTTTGAATTCATAACTTGATTCTAAAAGTCGTCTTCCGAATTCAGAATTTGCTGGATATTACTGTACGAGACAAAACTTTATTCTTACATTTTTAGAATTTCGGTGTGATGTTCTGGAATTATACAATCATTTTCGGTATCTATATTCATTCATTCTATTTCTTTAACAGTTATCTTCGTATTTATCAATACAATGAAGACGACTTTCGATTTTTGATTTCTACCAAGCTTTTAATCATCATGGATACATATTTACATGGAAGCAAAGAGTAGTTGTCAATTAACAGCTTCTCTTTATTAACTTGTAAACTTGTAATTTGAAAAGGTTGTTAGAATTTAAAACTTAAATAAAAAAGTCGTCTTCATTGTATTGTATTGTATTGTAAACGCTGACCACTGTATCTAAGTCAATTTTTCATAAAAAAGGTTTTCAAAATTCAATCTATTCATGTATACTTTATGTTTATAACACTTTTCTTTAATTTCATTGATTTTTAGTGAAATGAAAAAAGTTGAAATGATCGGGATGAGTCCTGACCTGTCACCATATTATTCCAATATTCTTCAGGAATATATTAAACTAACTAATATTTCTATTATAGGTAAAGTTCTATTCTTATTTTCATGTCATAATTTGGGCTATGTTTGCGAGAGCACAAAGGATTTGAGTATTTTCCCACACCTATCAAAAAGTCTGGCTATCCAGAGTAGATTCGACCCAGCACGATGTAAAAAATGTAGTCTGGCTAGATCTAATTCCTATTATATCTTTTGAACCTGAGGAAATAAACTTTTAAGATTTTAAATTTTAATTATTAATCTATCTATCAGACTTCAAAGTGTAACATATCTAAGGTCTTATACTTTGAGTTGTAACTTGCAAAGATAAATGGATTAAAATCAGAATTTTTGTAAATACTCGATATTAACCTCACACAACAAAAACAAAACAAAAAAAAGACATTCTTACCCCTTTTTTTTATTTATTTCACTTTCTTTTAAATCTTAAAATATTGATTCATGTTTAAGATGGTCAACAGGGACATAAACATTTCTTGTTTAAGCTGGTCAACTGGGACATAAACAAAAGTGGATTTGTCAAGTCAAGTCTCTTTTTAATGATTTTAATCTTTCATCACCAAAAAACAATAATACAAATAACTTGATTTAAGAATTATTTGAAATGAATGTTTAGGAAAGCCCGGGAAAATGCAGGGGTACAATTCTGGTGTTGTACTGTTTCATCTCAAGAAAATGCGGGAGAATAAGTTGTACAACCAATATTTACAATCAGAAAATGTAATTTCTTATTTAAATAGAAAATGTGTGTGTTTTTTTATAATTTTTAATATAAGAAACTTTCTTTTATTTAGATAAGGAAAATTATGAAGAAATACGTTGGAGTTCAAATTAGGTAAAAACTGAGAAAAAAATATCTATACAAAACTAAACAAGATAATTGAAAAGTCATTTTAAGCTATCTAATTATAAAATATGTATCAAAAAGTTCACCAAAAAATGTGATATGACTGGATTTTTTCTGATAATTGTTTCTAAACTTTTACCGTTTTTCATAAAATAGCTATTAAAGTAATCTTTTTAATTATTTAGTACAGGAGATCAGGATTGGTTTAATCTGGTTGGATTTACATCTCCTGAACTATTCTTTCCTTTGCCATGTGTATTCAATATGCAAACTTCAGTACAGGTATAAACATATATACATCTATAGATATATATCCTACATATCTGGGAACAATCTAAAATCTGAATTTTATCTTTAATATATATAGCTGATAGATATACAGGGCTACCCATAAAGTATTATTCGAATGTTCGAAATCTTTTTTTTACACTTTTCAAATTCCACCTTTAGATCTTCAAATTCGAAGAATTTTAGTTGTCATTAAAGTCTTGTTCATTGTTGTTAATCCTATAAATCTACATACCTGTGTAACAATACTGCGGCAATCTAATTCTCTAGATGCTTTCTAATAGTTTAATTTCAGTATCTCTACTACCCTCAAGAAGAAAAGTTTATAAAATACCATTATTGTGCTGAAAAATCTCAAGGGAAAATATTTCATTTTAATGGGTGCGGTCCTAGGTAAGTGTTTATCTTGTTCATCCTGTTCATCTTGTTCATCTTGTTCATCATGTTCATCTTGTTCATCTTGTTCATCTTGTTCATCTTGTTCATCTTGTTAATCTTGTTAATCTTGTTCATCTTGTTCATCTTGTTTATCTTGTTCATCTTGTTTATCTTGTTTATCTTGTTCATCTTGTTCATCTTGTTCATCTTGTTCATCTTGTTCATCTTGTTCAATTATCTAGACCTATTGATTGCAAGAACATCATTCAAGTAGAAAATGAAAGTGCAGTTATGGGTAATTATAAATTAATTTAATAGTTAATATGATTCTCAACATGAGAATAAAGAGACTACTTGAAAATCATTATCATGTTAGGGAGAGAAATCCATATAAATGTTGAAAAGTTCTGGATCTCTATGATGGTTGTCTTCCTTCAGGTTATAAATTTAGTTCTAAACCTAAACCCAAACCTCTAGTTTGGTTCAAGCCTCCTCGAATAGGGTATAAGTGAAAAAAATTACAGTCCTCAACAATATGAGTTGGGTAGGAGGATATAGAAAATGACATCCTCTATAGTTTTCAACCCATTTTTCTTTTAATTAGCAATTCAAAAAACAAAAAAACTGCTTGATTTAAAGAAAAATGTTTAAACATCAAACATATTTGAAATATAATAATAGGCGTTAATACCAAAAAGATAAACAACAGATATCCTAACTTATACAATAAAGCAAAAAAATAAATGTTTTAGTAAATTCACTTCTACCTACTCAAGTTAAGGTCATGAAAAAAAAAATAATTTCTAAAGGAAGAAATGTTTTTCATCTTTTCTTTAATTCTATTCTTATATCTTTAATAATAGGATAAAACGTTTACATTTTTTTTTGTTTTGCATTGTTCACCCATGAAAAATAAAAAAGTTCATTAACTTAATCGTTTGACACAAAATATATATATATATGCATAGGATATGAGTATAACAGCAGATGGATATGATCTGGTTCCGTACAGAAGACATTAATGCAAGAAACTAATTTTGTATTTAATCATTTAAAATGAGAATAATAAAATATAATTGGCTAATTGCACAAACACAATTAAGCAATAATAAATAAATATAAAAAAAATAATTAACGAAAATGATAGACATACTTTCAAACAGAAATAATGAATCAAATGTGTAAACAATAATGATGAAAGAATGTGTAAACAATAATGATGAAAGAATGTGTGAACAATAATGATGAAAGAATATGTAAACAATAATGATGAAAGAATGTGTAAACAATAATGATGAAAGAATGTGTGAACAATAATGATGAAAGAATGTGTAAACAATAATGATAAAAGAATGTGTAATTAATGATGATGAAAGAATGAGTAAACAATAATGATGAAAGAATGTTTAAACAATAATGATGAAAGAATGTGTAAACAATAATGATGAAAGAATGTGTAAACAATAATGATGAAAGAATGTGTAAACAAGAATGATAAAAGAATATGTAAACAATGAAAGAATATGTAAACAATAATGATGAAAGAATGTGTAAACAATAATGATGAAAGAATGTGTAAAACAATAATGATGAAAGAATGTGTAAACAAAGTATAATATTTACATGACTGCCCGAAGGTAGAAACCTATTGGATATCTAACTGCCTAGCTGCCACTGCCTGTATACCTTGCCCCTGGCTACCCTAGACCTTCGTCAGGGTCTTCCACACCCCCTCATCCCCTCTTACCTATATTCCCGTACACCCCCCCTACTCCCTCACCCACCCCTAAACCCTTAAAATACCATATTTTATGCTAATTATAAATTATAATTCAGAATTTTAAATTTTGATAAAATAAAATGAAAATATATATTCATCCCTGTATAGAGACGGATACTAACACTGACCGTGAATTATTAAATGTTTTCTTGGACTCCGCTGGACTTATGGAATCTATTCCAAGGATTTAGTTACAATAATCTAATTTGAACATAAAATCTATCTTGAATCCTATCAACTATTCAATGTTTATTGAACAATAATTTCATTTGAAAATATAATCTCGAATCCTATCAATAAGTTAGGTTTTGCGGAACAATAATTTGAAAATAAAATCTTGAATCCAATCAATAAATTAATGTTTACGGAACAATCATTTAATTTGAAAATAAAATCTTGTATTTTATCAAAAGGTTAATTTTTACGGAATAATAATTTAATTTGAAAAAAATCTTGCATCCTGTTAATAAATATTTTTTTAATAATTTAATTTGAAAAAAATCTTATATCGTCTTAATAAATTAATTTTTACGGAACTATAAAATCAACCAATTAACCGAATGATAACCTTCTATATTAATATTTATCGTTAATTATGTTAAGAACAATGGTTAAAAATTTAAAATTTTACAGAACCATTCTAATACCGACGTATGAAAAATGAAAATTACAATGCTCATTTTTTCGGAAAATTATCCACATTGCAAAGTTTAGTTCATAGATTATTGAGCAATAGCTTACACAACTATTAGACCTCCTCTGTCTTGGATCGGACGTGACATGCCACTCCATAAATGGAGAGTCACTTATAAAACCGTCCACAGCCATTCGAGGGTCATTTATAGTGTTAAACTATTTCTTTTTGATTTTCATATTTGTCTGTAAAATTACGTAGCTTAATCGGAAAAGAAAAAGGCGAATTGCAGGGTTACCCACAAAGGATGAGATTTCAGAGACGATTTTACAGAATTTATACTGTCTGTTTTCTTATATTCATGATTCCCTGCGACTGCAAACTTGTTTTTTTCTTTTCCAAATTATGATATAAGCAATTCAATATTTCAAGAGTTTTTCACTTTTTGTAAGTAATCCTGTATGCACGGTTATTCCATTGTTTTTATTATACACTTGGCTGCACTCTTACATTTGTTTTCAAACAAAGTATTAACAAGTAGGTTACGATTCTATTTGATCTTTTACTTTACTGGAACCTCTTTTGGCAGGAAAAGAGCATAATTCTATTATTATTATAATTGCTATAAAGTATAAAGTATAAGTGCATGTAAACGGTAAGATATCGTGCTGAACATATTTCCTCTGGCATCGTTTTGTATTTAGCAATCCTTGTTCTTTACACATTGTTTACTTGCATATATACAATATACACAATGTACATACATAACATACCTTATAAACAATTTAGGGAGCTCTCCCCCCCCCCCCCCCCTTCTTAAGGGACTGCCATTGTTATTTCAAGTGACTCTTTATTCAATGAGGACATGTCCGATTTATAGCTTTTTTAGCTTTCTGATTAGTGTTTAATTTACCTTTAACAATTTCCTTTATTGTTTCGGCACCAGAAATCCGCAAGTCCTGTAGAAGAGAAAGCACAAATCAAATACCACAACCACAACCACCAACAACAACCGAGTTGCTTTAGCTCCAAGATACAATAAATTGATTAATTAAAATTCTTTCAAAATGACCAGCAAAAGGTCTTGAAATGATTCGACTGATTTTGTAGATATTTAATCTTTTAGTCTATGAATTCTGATAAAAAGTAAAAAAAAGAAACTTCTAACTTTCTTTCAGGCTTATATTTTTGTTCACGCGCATACTTATTAACTAGTCTGGTTAATTATAGTCATAATCAACTTGATATTTATTACTTCAATTAAATCATTTTAATTACCGTGCACCAAGGTTATAATGCAAGGAAAGTTATTTCAGAGGTGAACTGCAGTGTATTGTGTCTGGGCAGTAATGTCAACACACGACGGATGTCGAAGCCTGACATGGGATCCATCACATATAAATCAATGAAATATTCTGGTCATAGGAAACTATTATGTTAATTATCAAAATTAAATGCTTTTAACCTCCTCGGATACTAGACGAACACTGATACACCCATTCTTGTTTACAAATTTCGCCCAGAGAGAACTGGTTTCAATATGTACGCAGAGTATACGCAACTGCAATTAACTTTTCTTGCATTAGCTCCTTATCGTGCACTATGTCTGAATCTAGCCATTCCTCTAATAAAAGGTCCCCTGCAAATGATATGCGTAACATTTAAGATTAAGGGGACTGTAAGCGTTCATATCTGTACCATTTAAACCTTTGACTGATGAAGGAAGTCAGACTTATCTATATTAATCTACTGAAACGTTTTTAATTGTTAAACAATAAGTTTTCAAGCTGTTACACATTTTAGAAAAAAAATTCTAAAAGTGGGAGAAAATAAAGATTTACTTTGATTAAACTGCTTTTAACTTAATTAAGACAGTCGATACTTAAGTTGTTTAAATAACAGATCAGCTGCATGAAGCGTTCATTTCCCGTTATAGGAGAATTTAAGCGGGTTCCCATATGTTTAAACAAATAGATCTTTTAACTCGATAAACAATCAAAGGTTTCAAGAATATCATTGTAAATCGGGTATTGCCCTCTGAGCATTGAAATTGCGCTTATAGTCCCTTTAAGCATAAACAAGCCTGCTAAGTACATTTAAAGGGATACATGAGAAATTTGCATCTGTATCCTTTAAACATTTGTCGGGGCAAAAATGATTTGATCTCAAGAAAAAAACGTTCTTACATATTTAAATCGAGGGTCACTTAAAATACGTTTACAGTCCCTTCACGTCTAAAAGAAATAAACTAAGATGTTTTGTGTTAAAATTTATTACGTTTTTTTATGCTTTTCTTTATGATATTTTATACAACAATAATTGTAAAAAACGGCATATTATTATACAACTGCATATTATCATATTTATGAGATTCTTATATTACATAGAAATGATATTGATATTTTTATAAAAATTTATAAATTACATTGATTAAGTACTGTAAATTACAGGCAGGTGAACTGATTTCTGTTTTGAATTGCACAATAATTTGCAGTACATTTGAAGACATACATGTTATATTGTTGAAGTTTTTACCAGCATCAAGTTTTGATGAATATAAAAATCAGAAATTCGTCGAGAAAATTGGTCATCATGTTTTTCTTGTCTTATAACATAAATTGGGAGGTATGATTTAGAAATGTGTAATATATACTTTTTCTTCTTTAAAATCTTCAAAAACGATATTTTTAAACGACAGAAATATTGTTCTACTTTATATTGTTTAGATAAATACTGAGATTCTTGTGTTAGAGGAATAGAAATAAATTCTATTTCAAATTTTTTCCTATTTTTTCATGATAATTGTGTTTTTCAAGTTTTCTTCATCTTCTTAATGTCAGTGGATCATACTGCTCTCTTGGAGAAAGTCTTGTTCCTAAAAATAAAAATAAACATTTTAGTAATTTTTTCAAGCATTTTTTAGTTGAACTAAATAGACTAAGTTCAACTACTTATTGGTATTCATTAAATTTGGCCTCAGGATTTTTATTGTCACAAAAGCATAAAGGCAAAATATCAATTAAAAACAAATTACCGAATGGTACAGAGCTGACGTTGTTCTCATCTATAACTTCAGTTTCAAAAACAACAGGAGATTGAGGTCGTCTGACAGGTCGTCTTATCTTTACTCCCTCACTCTCATATACATCTACACCACCCTAAACAGTTGATTGTGTACTTGCAGTTAGAAGAACATGAGGAGTTTAATTTAACCATATTGGATTCAACATAAGCAGAAACAAATTAGATACTTTGTTTTCTTGTTGCATATATGTTGTGATAAATTTATTTTGAATGTTTTTTATGCTTCTTTACTAGCTTAGATTGGTTAGCACATGGTAAGTGCATTTCATTGTTTGTATGTTTAAAACATACTTTGGTATATCCGATAGATTCATTATCTTATGTTAAACCAATGACCTTATATATTACAAAGTATAATTTTATTTGTGAGATAAGTAAAGACTTATATTGTTGAACCAATGACCTTATATATTGCAAAGTATAATTTTATTTGTGAGATAAGTAAAGACTTTTATTGTTGAACCAATGTTCTTATATATTACAAAGATTAATTTTATTTGTGAGATAAGTAAAGACTTATATTGTTGAACCAATGTTCTTATATATTACAAAATATAATTTTATTTGTGAGATAAGTAAAGACTTTTATTGTTGAACAAATGACTTTATATATTACAAAGTATAATTTTATTTGTGAGATAAGTAAAGACTTTTATTGTTAAACAAATGACCTTATATATTACAAAGTATAATTTTATTTGTGAGATAAATAAAGACTTTTATTGTTGAACAAATGACCTTATATATTACAATGTACAATTTAATTTGTGAAATAAGAAAAGACTTTTATTGTTGAACAAATGACCTTACATATTACAATGTATATTTTAATTGTGAAATAAGAAGACTTTTCTTTTAACAAATGACCTTATATATTACAATGTATATTTTAATTTGTGAAATAAGAAAAGACTTTTATTGTTGAACAAATGACCCTACATATTACAAAATATATAATATATAAGGTAGTAAAATGTTTTAATTTACAATTAATGGTTGATTTATTGTATTTACTGTGAGAAAACTACACACAGTTCAAACTTCATCCTACTTTACTATACACTCCAATCTTTGTCGTCTAATTTGGACACCTATTTTACTAGACTAATACAATAGCACTCCATATTTTAATAAAATGGCACTCTACATTTGTAATACAATAGCACTCCACATTTTAATACAAGAGCACTCCATATTTTAATACAATGGCACTCCACATTTGTAATACAATAGCACTCCACATTTAATAAATTAGCATTCCATATTTCAATACAATAACACTCCCACCTTTAAAACAATATCACTCCAAATTTAAAGATAATAGCACTCCACATTTTATTACAATGGCAGTCTACATTTGTAATACAATAGCACTCCACATTTAATAGATTAGCATTCCATATTTTTATACAATAACACTCCCAGCTTTAATAAAATATCACTCCACATTTAAATAAAATAGTACTGCACATTTTATTACAATGGCAGTCTTCATTTGTAATACAAAAGCACTCCATATTTAATAAATTAGCATTCAATTTTTTAATAGAATAACACTCCCAACTTAAATATAATATCACTCCACATTTAAAGAAAATAGCACTTCACATTTTAATACAAGGGCACTCCACATTTGAATACAGGGGCACTCCACATCTTAATACAAGGGCACTTCACATTTCAATACAAGGGCACTCCACATTTTGATACAAGGGCACTCAACATTTAATACAAGGGCACTCCACATTTTAATACAAGGGTACTCCACATTTTAATACAAGGGCACTCCACATCTTAATACAAGGGCACTCCACATCTTCATACAAGGGCACTCCACATCTTAATACAAGGGCACTCCACATTTTAATACAAGGGCACTCCACATTTTAATGCAAGGGCACTTCACATTTTAATACAAGAGCACTCTACATCTTAATACAAGGGCACTCCACATCTTAATACAAGGGCACTCCACATTTCAATACAAGGGCACTCCACATTTTAATACTAGGGCACTCCACATTTCAATACAAGGGCACTCCACATCTTAATACAAAGGCACTCCACATTTTAATACAAGGGCACTCCACATCTTAATACAAAGGCACTCCACATTTTAATACAAGGGCACTCCACATCTTAATACAAAGGCACTCCACATTTCAATACAAGGGCACTCCACATCTTAATACAAAGGCACTCCACATTTTAATACAAGATCACTCTACATCTTAATACAAGGGCACTCCACATCTTAATACTTGGGCACCCCACATCTTAATACAAGGGCACTCCACATTTTAATACAAGGGCACTTCACATTTTAATACAAGGGCACTCCACATCTTAATACAAGGGCACTCTACATTTTAATACAAGGGAACTCCACATCATAATACAAGAGCACTCCACATCATAATACAATATCTCAATAAACACTCCATTCCTTATTACACAAAACATTCCCCAATGCACATGACTAGACACTACTATTAGCACTATTAACACTCTGCACTCTAAACCATAATAAAGTATAACAATCGTATGAACTAAAGACTAAAGGTTTACCTCTGTAATATTATGTGCAAAACTCAGGAAATGTTTGGGTTAAGGAGGATGTAAAAAAAAATCATGTCTTGATACTCAATAAAAGAATGAGAGGGGGGGGGGGGAAATGAGTGAACATGTAATTTTTAAAAAATGTCGATATTTTCAGGCATTTTATATTTTCTGAATAATTTGTTTTGTGAATCTAATTGTAGTTGTAGAACGGATATGAAGATATCAACAGGAAATATAAGCATGGTTTCTTTAAACTCAAACATAATTCTTCAATCCGTAGCATATCTCAATAACGGATCAAAACAATATTTCAAAATTTTTAAATTGGGGTATGGAGGCCGGAGGGTCACTTGACATTATAATGACACTGATTGACTCTTTAAGACTTGCATTCTCTTGTAAAATGTTAGTACTCTAGTCTACCAGGGGAGGGAATTTGAATAAGTATCTATGAACAATCCCTAATTCAAAAGTAAGGTTATCAGAAACAATTTTTTGGACAAAAATGGAACAAAAAGAACGAAAAGCAAATTTAAATACATTCACGACGAAATAGCCGTTTTAGTTTTATACACTTTTAACATTTAACACTTTTTGCCAATGCATAAAATGATTTAAATCGTGGAGTTCATCAGATATTAAAGTATTTTTGTCAAGCGAATATCATTTTGATACATGTATACAAAAGATAGAAAATTAAGACAATTGTTTTATCAAAATTGTCCAGTATCACGTCAAAGAAAGTAAATTTCAAGTTTGATGGAAATTTTCAATCATGACTCCTAATTTTGAAAAGCTATTCCTAGGAACCAAAAAAATTTGGATTTGGTATATGCTGATATAAGCTGATCTCATACTTTGCCACACCTCAAATTTAAATTTTCTAATCCCTATATCTTTGCAACCTGATGGTGTACACCTTTTATATTTTAAACATAGGATTGCAAAGATATAGGGATTAGAAAAGACTCAATTCCTTTGACCTTTTTCTTATATCTAGTTTGGAGATTGGAATTATGGATACCTGTTTAGGGGACCCGGAACCAGAATTATGCATTTTTAAAGATACCTGTTTAGGGGACCCGGAACCAGAATTTTAGGGATACCTGTTTATGGGACCCTGAACCAGAATTATGGTTGTTTAGTTATGGATACCTGTTTATGGGACCCGGAACCAGAATTATTATTTGGAAAGTTATGGATACCTGTTTAGGGGACCCGGAACCAGAATTATAATTTGGGAAGTTGGGGAAGCTGGAACCAGGCTTGTTCTAGACAAAAACGTGTTTTATTTGGACGGAAAGCATAATTTCAAGCGACTTATATTCAAAGATGAAAATGCCCGATTCACAACGGTACCCTTGAAACCTAAATCTGATCGAGCATGAATTTGACAGCTGATTTTTTCAATTGTGCGTTCTCTACTAAAGTAAATTGCGCATTTCTACTACAAGAAAACGTATAATAGATTATTAGAAATGAACAATTTTAATCTTAGAAAACAACAATATCTTCCACATTAATGTTAAGCTAGATATATATTTCAAGGGTACCATTACAAATCAGGCATTGCGATTATTTTGGTAAGGATAACTTGAAATTACGCTTACAGTCCCTTTAACGGCGTAACATTTATCAAGGCATATTTTATTTTAAAATTCCATCTAAATATCTTGAACCTGCTTTCATTGTTGATTTGTTTTATTTCAATTGTAAAAACGATACAATCTTGGAAATCTGAGATATGATTTAGTTTAGTATCTTTATGAATCATTAATGTACCATAAAATATTTGGATACATTTTATGTTCCACACGAAAATGAATTTTTTTCTACCCCAAATCATTAATTTTCCACGTGAAACCCAAAACGTTTGTTGAAGGTTTTTTTTAGTGTAATATATTACCCTTGTAGGCTGGTAATATATTACCCTTGTAGGCTGGTAATATATTTCCCTTGTAGGCTGGTAATATATTACCCTTGTAGGCTTTCCCTTGTAGGCTGGTAATATATTACCCTTGTAGGCTGGTAATATATTACCCTTGTAGGCTGGTAATATATTACCCTTGTAGGCTGGTAATATATTACCCTTGTATGCTGGTAATATATGAATTGATGGATTTATTTTGCGCAAGGGTAGAAATCCCGCTTTCAGGATTGTTTGAAGACAGATTTAAATGATTACATGTCACTCAGGGCAAAACCCTTTTAGATTGATCGACACAATAATATAGAATATCCATTCTTCTATAAACCACCCCATTCACCTTTCCCCGATTTTTTGTAAGATTGGTCAGATTGTGTGCTAAATCAATTCCATGTTGGAAACCAAAAAATCGATACAATTCTTTATCTGTCCATCTGACTATCAATCTATCAATGTTCTTAAAGTTTCCCACGTTCTTGACAAGTCTAAAGCGTGTACAGCTGCTCAGTGAGTTTAACGGTGCATAGGAGGTCAGCGTAATATTAAACTTTGTCTTTAAACTTGTTTTCCAAAGAAAGGACAGTGGTTACTTACTACAAATCTTTTTATCTTTGCAACCCGTACACTTCAAAACTAAGAAATATGATAGCTCAAATATTGAAAGTTTGAAACATTAAATGTCTACACCATCAGATTGCAAAGATATTGGGATTTAGTAATCAGTTATTTTTTAGAATTTTCCTTTGAGGAAACTGATTGCTCTTTAAATTCTCAAATTAAAATTAAAAATGTCTTATTCACCTTACTTTTCCCCAATGTAGTTCCAACATTGATATCAAAGCTGCTTGGAACATTTATAGCATTCTCAACAGGTACATAGATAGTTCTAAACATCAATATGATCATGTACAGGTACATAGATAGTTCTAAACTGCAATATATTCATGACGGGTACATAGATAGTTCTAAACTGCAATATGTTCATGTACGGGTACATAGATAGTTCTAAACAGCAATATGTGCATGTACTGGTACATAAATAGTTCTAAACAGACAATATGTTCATGTACAACTACATAGATAGTTCTAAACAGCAATATGTTCATGTACAGGTACATAGATAGTTCTAAACAGACAATATGTTCATGTACAGGTACATAGATAGTTATAAACACCAATACGTTCATGTACAGGTACATAGATAGTTCTGTACAGCAATATGTTGATTTACAGGTACATAGATAGTTATAAACAGCAAAATGTTCATGTACAGGTACATAGATAGTTCTAAACAGACAATATTTTAATGTGCAGGTAGATAGATAGTTCTAAACAGCAATATGTTCATGTGCAGGTACATAGATAGTTCTAAACTGACAATATTTTCATGTACAGGTACATAGAGAGTTCTAAACAGCAATATGCTAATGTACAGGTACAAAGATATATATATTTACAGGTAAATGTACATGACAAGTTCTCAAGATAAATTATATATATTATTATAAATAATAAAGGTAAATCATGATTGTCATCCTCCAAGTTTATTACACTTTCAGTCTGAATGGTTTAGGTTCTAATGTCCTTCAAGGTTTTGTTAACGCTGCTTCAAGATAACCTTCATTTAATGTACTACAACATTTTACATCGGTAAAATAAAAACCCTTTTTTGATAATATTCACCCCTAACTTTTGTGAGAATTCTCTAAAACAGGTTGGCAAGAAAATGGCTGACTTTTTTCCTTTCTACAGAAAGAAATTTCTTCCATAAAAGTCAAATGCACTTTTTTTCATTGAAAGTCCAACCAAAAAAATTCCGCTTGCAATCCTTGTATCATGGCTCATTGTCTATACATGTTTCAGTATCATGTTTCAGTATGTCCGTCTAAGATTTATTTGTAAACCTGATTTCACTGGGTGGATCAAATCCTTCACCATTCTCCTCAACTCTCAAGGGTATATCATAGAACAGGGGAACATTATTATCCTAAATATAATCTAGTAAACATTGGTTTGATAACTGAGACATCAAAGTACATGATTGATTGATTGATTTTTAGAATCGTTGTTGTTAATGTTTTGTCAGTTCAGAGAGAAAGGAACTGAACACCTCCCTCAAACTATGATTTTTAATCCTTATTTCTCTGCATCCTTTATATTTCAAACTATAAATTCTTCTAGATCCATATTTATGATATGAAAGGTTTACGTTATCAGGTCGCAAAATATAAGACTTTGAAAATAAATTTGAATTTGAAACGAGTGCAATTGGAAACAGTGTAATTTTATATTATCAAGATTATTAATGTTTAAATAATTTTCAAACCCTAAAATATGCGTTTATCATTGCATGCATACCATCAGAAGCGCCCCCGCCCCCTCGGCCCACACCGACCCTCCTTCTTCTCAGCACGTGCGTCAAGGATATTTTGCGCGTCTAGCGCAAAATATGTAAAATGCAGCATGTCAGAGCTGGACACTGACGCATTTACGCAATATCTTGAACACATTTATACGCGCATTGGTATGGAATTTTCAATATGACAAAAAACTTTACAATAACGTCAAAACCCTGTGAAACACAAACAAAATAAAGAAGTTAAAGAATAAATCTGAATCGGAAGGGGGGGGGAAATAAAAGAAAAAAGTGTGGTAGTGGAGTAGAAAATATTTTTGAGGGGGGAGAAGATAGAATGGGTTAGAAGGGGTAGTGAGAGGGGTGAAATAAGGATACTATAATGTCAAATCTAATTTCAGTCGTTGAATTGTGGAGATATAAAGCAATATATAATAAATTAAATTAAATACATTGTAAAGTCTGTTAACCTTGTTCTATAAACTGAAACCTCTTGGTTTATATAACAATAGAACATACTCAACTACATTATAATAGGAAATTTGGTATTATTTGTTTAACAATAATACAAAACCAAACATAATAATCCCCCCCCCCCTATTTTCTTTCATTGCAGAAACCCCCCTTCTTTTTCTCTGCGGAAAATCCCCCCTTTTTCTCTGCAGAAAACCCCCAATTCTTTCTCTACAGAAAATTTCCTCCCTTTCTTTGCAGAGAATCATCCTTCTTTCTGTTCAGAAATCCCCCTTCTTTCTCTACAGAAAATTCACCTCCCTTTCTCTGCAGAAATCTTTCCTCTTTCTCTACAGAAAATCTCCCTTCTTTCTCTGCAGAAATCTTTCCTCTTTCTCTACAAAAAAACCTCCCTATTTCTCTGCAGAAAATCCCCCATCTTTCTCTGAAGAAAATCCCCCCTTCTTTCTCTTCAGAAAATCCCCCCTTTTTCTTCAGAAATCCACCTCTTTCTCTGCAGAAAACCCACCTTTTTCTCTGCAGAAAACACACCTCTTTCTCTGCAGAAAACCCACCTTTTTCTCTGCAGAAAATCCGCCCTTTTTCTGCCAAAGTTCCCTCTACCCCTCACACTTTGAGTCTTGATCTCATCAACACTGCCTTTGAGACTCGAACCTATTTATTGTCGAGGCTCGAGCCCATTACATTTATCAACCTGAAGGTTCGAACCCAACCAATTTATCTCTCTTGGAATCTCGACCCCAGCCCATTTATCTCTCTTGGAATCTTGAACCCAACCCATTTATCTCACGTCGAGGCTCAAACCCATTTCATTTTTATCTCTTTAAGATTCGATCCCAACCCATTTATCTCTCTTGGAAGCTCGAACCCAGCCCCATTTATCTCTTTTGGAGGCTCGAACCATGCCAATCTATATCTCTCGAAGAAACGAACCCAATCCATTTATCTCTCTTGGAGACTCGTACCCAACACATTTAATTCTCTTTAAGACTCGAACCCAACCCATTTATCTCACGTCGAGGCTGGAGCTCATTAGAATATCCCACTTACTACACGATTCGAGTCTCCATACAAATTCCCCCATTTTCATTTCATATTTTATTTTCGAATTCAACCTAAACGAACAATTAAGATTCAGAGCCCTGCCAACATTTGAATCTGTTTTCTAATTTCTATATGAATATGGCCGACATTTCTTAGAAATATTTCAGTTAATTGCAAGTTCCTGTATTATTGACTTGGCAGGTTGGCATCTACCTTGGACAGTTCATGATAAAGATCAATTTCAGCCTTCTATTAACCCTAAAATTACGGGGAGGGAGGGGGGGGGGGGTCTCGGTACCTGCCCTCTTCAGTTTTAACTGTTTCATATATTTATCTTACCGAATTCTAAGCTTTTAAGAAAAAATATGTGTTTAAAGATTTTTCAATGCATAAGGTATGAAAGGGCAGCAAAAACGGTTCGGAAATATATATATATATATAATATAATATAAGCCAATTTGAAAACCTAAAAAACTTGAAAAGTTAAATGAATAGTGAAGTTACAAAAATAATATTAGTGCTTACGTGTCGCATGTTTACATTGGTCGGATTAATCAAAAATTGCATTTTAAAAATATTTTTTGCACATTTTTGAAATCATAATCATTGAATTTTGAATTATAGATTTTAATGAATTTTAATGAAAAGGATGCTTTAATCATTATTCTTTAGCATTGTGATAATGTGTGTGGAGAGCGTGAGTCTGAAGTTTTTCAATATTTATATTAGATTTCTGTCATTGTTTGTTTTTATTTCTTAACGATATTTATTTAACTTTTTATATAACGCGTAACCAATGTTACACAATTTGGAGGATTTAAATCAGAACACTTTAAGTCCATACTAAGCATAAGCATAATCTTTTAACCCTAAACAGGCGTCAAACCCCCCCCCCCTTTTTTTAACACTATCAGCGCAAAGTTTTTTGACTTTTAAGGAATAGTAATTTTAAGGTAATAAGTTCGCTCCGTGTTTAAAAAATCTAAAAAGTTCCATAACTTTTTTTTGACTAAAGCTACAGATCTAAAAACCACGTTTTTGAAAAGCCCTTAAAAAATGGATGCCAAAAAATGTGTCAGATCTTGAAATTTGCCTAAAACAAAAAAACATTTTCTATATTTTTCCGACCCTTTTTTTCTCATTTTTTTAAACCCTACATTGTACCAACACTATTAAAGTTAGCGGTCCAATGAACATGCAGTTCAACCCTATGCCTTTACTCTAAGGTCTTTTTCCCCAGGTTTCACATAGATTCAGACCCCCCAGCCTTTATAGGGTTAAAGAAAAGAAAAGAAGTAATTACTTGCCTCAAACTATAATTTTTAATGAATACCATGATTGATTGATTGATGGTGTAAATCTTTGATATTAAAAAATAAATTTTTTGATCCAGCAGAATTCATAGTTTAACATTTTGATCATACGATCGACAACAAGCTGCAAATATTTATAGAAAAAATATTTTAAGGTAAAACGTTCCTTTTTGTGAAATTAATATCTACTGTTTCTATTCGGTTCTCACTGTTATCTTTTTACCTCATTAACAGAAAAAGATGGAATTATATTATCATCTCCAAATATTTCTCCACTAAATCATAACTCATCATATAAATAACTCAATCAAAAAATATACCGAATATTATCAGATTCTTTATAAATATTAAAAATAAAATGTGTAAACAGTAGGTTGATGTTAATATCTTTATAAAAGTAGAAAATATCTAAAAAAAAAATGTATCTAATTAAAAAAATAAATTTGCTTCGGAATAAAGATATATCTAAATTTTTGAAAATAAAATGACAAATTTCCTGTAGGGTTCAGCATCTTCAAGTTTACCCACATCAACCTCATCCTGAAATATAATAAGAAAATAATGTTATACGGAATTGAGTCTTTGCCACAAACTGAAATTTTCTAATCACTTTAATATCGTTGCAACTTGATGGTGCTAACCTTTGATATTTCAAACTGAGATTTTTTTGAAAGTTTTAAATATCTAAGGTCAATAATATAGGTTTGCAAAAATATAGGGATTAGAAATCAGACATTCAAATCCATTATTTTAGAAATCCAAAAACAATTTCATTTATTTCATCATTTACGTCCCCTACCCAACCCCCTATCCCCCAGAAATAAAAATGAAAGAACATAAGTACCTCGCACATTGTTAAATTTTATCATGTGCTTTTTAAACTAAGTTTTCTACCTGATTTCAAAATCAGAAAATTCAATATTTAATGGTAGTTTAAAGGTAGTTTCTATAATTGCTGGATTAATAGAAAAAACAGATGCTCAGACCTAAAACCCCCCGCACCGTCGCACCCATACTTCAGACTACGAATTTAATCGTGCATAAAGTTTTTGCGAGGTAAAAACTGCATGCAAAACTGGTTGGACAGAATATGGTTAAAAATATGAAAGGTCAAGGGTGCAAACTAAAATATTCAGGATTTATTCAGACTTAAATCTTATACATGCAGTAGACTCATTCAATATACAGGGTGTACCAATAAACATGGGAATTTTAAGACGATTTACAAATTGTCTTTTAACCCTATCCCCGCTGGGGTACTTGAAAACCAGGATACGCTGGGGGGGGGTCAATTTGACCCCCCCCCTCTAAATCCCATGTTTTATGTCCAAATATGACAAATGATACATCATTAGAAAGCTCTTGTGCTCTACTTTTAGAATCTGCAAAAGAATTTGCAAATTTGCGAAAATTGAATTTTTTATTGCAAAATCCAGTTTTATAGTAAAAATGTTTGCAAAAAAAATTTTGTCCAAAAAATGACAAATAATACATTTTTAAAAAGCGATTGACCATGCCATTTCAAATATGCAAATCTTTTTGCAAAATTTTAAATAATCTGATTTTTAATCAAGAAAAACTAAAAATGTGCAAATTTCCTTTGACAGGTTGTTTGCAAAAAATTTGCAATTTTTTTTTCGCAAAACTTGTGCAATCCGTTTTCTTATGTCATAGGCTTTCCAAAAAGCAAAATTTTATCAGAATCTGACAAGTGAAAGTGGGTCAAAACAAAGATTTAGTTTGCTACAGGCAAAAGCAGTCATTCAGGCAGTGTGCCTGAGGACTCAGGCAGTTAGTATTAAAGCCCGGTTTTAGGCCTAAAGGAAGGGCTTTGGGTATGTAAGAAAAGTCAGAAAATTTCAACAGCCTCAGACCAATACTTTTTGAGTTATGTAAAAAAAACTATTGACCCCCCAGCGGGAATAGGGTTAATAGGCATTTTTTCGTGAATACAGTATGCTTTATAATTTATAAAGTATAATCTAAACTAAACCCATCTACTTTAACAAGTAGTATCTAAAACCTCGTCATTGAAAATGAGGTTTACAATTTTTGAACATTCTTGATAGGTACACACTTTATGAAGTAGTGAACTTTTTATGCTTGGAATGCAAGTAATACATTTTCATAATTCATATACATATACGGCACATTTGAATAAAGTAGCTAAATTTGCCTTTTTCTTATTTAACCCCTAGTTGAAAATGGATTATACAGTATGCAACTGCAATTCATTTATAAACATAGTTAAACTCAATTCATAAATATTCTGTACAGCTCATTAAAAATTAGAGTAAAAATTACTTTTGTTCCAAATCCTGTGTGTACTTGTACCAGTACAAAACCTGTATCTACACCAATACAAAACACTTATACCGCAACTACACCAATCCAATGAAAAACCCGTACCTTTACCAATATAAAACCCGTACCTGTACCAATATAAAACCCGTACCTGTACCAATATAAAACCATACCTGTTCATTCTGGTTTTCATTCTCATAGTAAATATAGAAAACATCAGATTCAGGAGTTAAACCATTTGTTCCCTAAACAGATTATGCATAATTTGAGACTATCAGTTTTAGAATTTTCGATAAACATGAAGGTACGAATATTCTACAGGACTGAACATTTGTCTTAAAATCTTATCTTTTATATCTTTGCACTTAATATCCAGTAGTGTAAACCTTTTATATTTCAAGCATTCAATATTGAATCTATAGAAGAATTTGAGATTTTAAATTTTAATGGTTTACAAAAGCTACAATATAAGGAGATTAATCGGTGCTGTGGCTGGAGGTTTATATAACTATAGCAATGCAAAAGATTACAAAACTAGTACAAATACCTGAACACTTTCTACAGATTGAGAGGTTCTCAGATCAACTATTTCACTGATTGGTGAATCATTTTTTAAAAAGATGTCATTGAAAGGCTCCTGTGACTCTAGAACTGGAACATTTTCTATATTGTCAGAAGGCGACGGAGAGTTAAAGCTTTTGAATGCAGTAAATGGTGCAGGCTTCTGGTATTCAGCTTGGTATGAAGCTGCGGTTGGAGAAGGTTGGGGTAAGGATGGACTCGGAGAGGGTTGGTAAGGAGCTGGACTTGGAGAACCTTGATAAGGAGATGGGGATGGAGAAGGTTGGTAAGGAGCTGGACTTGGAGAGGGTTGGTAAGGAGCTGGACTTGGAGAACCCTGATAAGGAAACGGGGATGGAGAGGGTTGATATGATGATGGAGAGGGTGAAGCTGTGAATGGAGCTGGGCTAGGAGATGGTTGATATGATTGCTGTGGAAAAATATATCCAGATTCTCCGGGAAAGTTGAATTGAGGACTGGCATAGTTGTTTTGTATGGAAGGGGATGAATATGAAGGTGATGGAGATGAGTAGGTGAAAACAGGGGGAGAGGCAGTGGACGAAGGACTGTTGTAAAGATCAAATGTATTTTCATCAGACGCAGATTCAAAAGTACTCTGAGGTCCAAAATATGCTTTGGCAGGAGCAGGCACTTGAGCAGGAGCTTCATAAGCAGGAGCGGAAGCAGGGGCTTCATATGCTGGAGCAGGAGCAGGAGCTTCATATGCAGGAGCAGGAGCTTTATATGCTGGGGCCTCATATGCTGGAGCAGCAGCAGGGGCCTCATATGCTGGAGCAGAGGCATCGTAAACAGGAGCCGAAGATGCAGCAGTCTCCCGGAACAGAGTATCTTGATAAACTGGAAGATTGGCTAGAACAGGTGCTGCTGAATAAACTGGTGGTGATGTTGACTTTGGAATATAAACAGGAGGTTGATATTCAGGTAGGGATGGGGAGGCTGGAATATAAACTGGAGCAGATGTTGTTGGTGCTACATATGATGAAGCTGCTATAGGAGGAGAATAAGACGAGACTGGCGCAGTTGAAGGGGCATAAGAAGGGGATACTGTTGTATGAGTTTTAGTGGTAGGACGTTCATAAGCTGGGGGAGAAGAATTTGATTCGGCAGGTTGATGTTTACTAGGGGGAGCAGGGTAGGTAAGTCCAGCTTCAAACACTGCATTTTCTCCTGAAATCCACTGTGTATTGATTCCTGCCTGTCGGAATATATTCTGCAGATTAAGAGGACCATAGTGTCCATGTCCTACCCAGCCATACTGCTGACTTGGTCCTTAACAAAGAATATTAATATTTAGTATAAAGAATTAATACAGGAATGCATTGCACAACATGTTGAAGCAATTTCTAATAGCATTTTTATGTAACTCATGTGAAAATACTTAGAAATACAATAATCCAATCTACCTGCAGGCTTTATTATGAACTTTGGCTTGGAGGCGACTTTATAATCACGGTGTTCAGCAACATCAGGCTTCTTCTCTTCTTTTGCAGGTTTTACAGAGGTATCTTTTTTATGGTTGAGATGTTGTTTAGGCGCTTTAACCTTGGTAACTTCGGGTTTTGATTCCTCTGCTTCATTTTCTTTCACATTTTCCTTCTGAGCATTTTTGGTCTTGAAAGAGTTTTGAAGTTTCTCACTTAAAATATTATTTTTGCTCAGCTTCAGTGGTGTTTGGTCAATTTTCCGGGGAACTTTATTAGTTATCCTAGGTATAAGCACTGGTGAACCAGGTTTATTCACTGTTTTCTTGTCTGTTGTTAACTTTTGTGGAACAGGGTGAGGATGGGGGGTATGCTGATACTGGTTTGATAGAATTGACGGATGATGAGATTGCTGAGGGTGCCGTAGAGCCTGCTTTTGATTAGCCAAGTTGGACTGTTTTTCATGTTGAATGTTATGATGCTGACTCTTCACATTCTGAGTTGCTCCTCTATAGAACTGTGGCAATCTCTGTCCATTTTGAGGTACTCCCTGTTTGATTTGGGAGACGCCTTGGTGTTTCTTTACAACTCCCTGGTGTAACTTTTTCTGGTGATTCGTAAATACTCCCTTCTGGTGCTTCTGAATGCCTTGATGTGCATTTTCTACTCCATGTTGATTTTGATTCGCATGATGCACTCCCTGATGCACCTTTTGGCCTCCCTGACGGGAGTGTGGTCTTTCTTGATGAGCGTGTACCCCCTTTTGATGTAACTGCGGTCCATCTTGATTGGATTGAATAGATCTGGCCTCCTGAGTCAGAGTGTTTAAAGATTGTTTTCTTTGAGGTAGATTTCGTTGTTGTCGGTCAGCTGATTGATGAAGGTTAAAATGTTGATGAATAGGTCGGCTAAACTCTATATCATGTTTACTTCTGAAGAACTGGTATTGTTTATTGTTGTCTGCAAACGTACTGCAGAGAATGGAGAGGAGAGGAACTATGATTATTAGATTCACCATCTGAAAAATTGAAAATAATAAAAATGTAGATTTTATAGTTTACTAGCTACAGGGTACGGCGTTGCAGGTAGAGGAAAAAAAAGTTGGACAAAGGAATTGAGTCTTTGTCACAAACTATTTGAACATTTTTTTTTTCACACAACGTTCACCTATGAGTGTCCAAAAAAATTTCAGCCCATTCGGTCCAGCCGTTTGGCCTGCTATAGGCAATATATATATGAATGTCTTGTTTTATTATATTGATAACAAAAAATCGTTCTAGAAGATATACACACTAATATATCTGCATAATTCAGACACTTTAAATTATAGAATCCTCATATCTAGTAAGAGTGTAATCTAGTTTAAATTATTTGCTTGTCTACAATGATCAAATAATAATAATTCAGAAGTTATAATTATAATTTGTTAATAAGAGCTCAGAGCAGATTGGTGGTATGGTAATGGATAAACGTACACCTGGGACAGGGGTGAAATAATATTTTTAAGAGTGTGATTTTTAATGCTAAATTTGACCATTATTATTAAAAGAGAAAAAGTACGAGAAATGTAGAAATATAAATTGACGTATATTTGTTCATTGCATTTATGGAATATGCCAAAAAGAGAAAGCAAATAAAGGAATAAAAAAAGAATTGTAAAAAAAGATAATTGAGGTGGCAGGGCAAGAGTGAATGGGGGGGAGGGTTAGCGTGAACAAATTAAGAACCAAACACCATTATTACAAACCTAGACTCAATGAAAGCGAAGAGAAATCAATTACTGGTTAGGAAGGAAGTAAAGGGGGGGGGGGCAATTGATAAATGTTTACAACCTTGCCTGAATTAATTTGTTTATTTCAATTGGTTAACCAAATCTTTGCGAAAAATAAACAAATTTCGGAAAAAACCTGTGGCATGACAATTTTATTTTTTCGAATGTTCTCGATCAAGTTTTTCCCGCGGAGTTAGTCTTTCTGGAATTTGTCTAATATCTAAAATTGAAAACTGGAAATTTTCTGGATATTATCGGGACTAGTTTTTGGATATCAAGGAAATATTATTCTGTATTATTATTTATCTAAAGTACAGGGACATTGTATGTTAATTTGTGTTTGCTTTTATAGTGTCTTATATAGATTTCTTAAAGGCTTGTTTAAATAATAATGATTATGTTTTCAATTAAAACAATATTAGTATTTGGTACGATGTACTTGAAGGTAAACATTATTTTCTTTAAATTCTGTGAAAAAAGTTTTTACAAATATTTAGGTTAAAGTAAACAGCAGGGGTTACGCAATGCGTATCGTGTTGATTGTTTGCGTACCTTGACCTTCCTCTGCGTCAACAATTGACCAATCCAGGGATTATTGAATCATTGAAAAGTTTTTGGTTTGGTAGTATACTTTAAAATCAAAATAAAATCGTATAGTGTATTTTTTAATGGGATAATATTTATCCCGGTATATTGGCCAGTTAGCAGTGTATGTATAGTTCTCAACTAATCCTTGGGATTTATTAGTAGATTGGTACTAGGATAGATAGATAGATATAGTAAAGGTAAATAGACATATATATACTCTTCTATACAAGTAAGAAGATACATTTATCAAATATACTTTATAAAACACATAAGGGATAGTACAGGGTTAATAGAATCCAATTTTTGTATCTACCAAGTAAGTTCATTGATGTTTTATTAAGAGTTGTTTTGGTGTTATATTGCTTAATTTTTTAACCTTAAAGGTAGAAATTACCCATTTTTAAGTAATCATCTAACGAACGAAAAGTATCGAAAGAAATATACAACAAAACCAGAATTCTGAATTTTCATTCGATATCAAGTTTTAGAGGTTCTGAATCCGAGGATCAATAATCTTTTAGGTTTTCATGATTATTTTTAAATATGTGTACAGTCCCTTTAAAGAGACTGTATAAGGTTAATTCTATCAATTGTAAATAAGAAATCAATGTTCATAATTTTGGAAACTGATCACTTTCAATTGTGGTTTCTCTACAAAAATGACTTGCGCATTTCTACTGCAGGTGAACAAAGGAATTTTCAGAATTAAACACTTTAAAGCGGACATGGCCATCTTTCCATTGGTAGTCAACTGAAATTACGTTTACGTTCATTCGAATAATAAATTGAATGACTAGTTGGAATCGCAATCAATTAAACACAAAATTAATGTCAGCTACTCTTTTAGGCAAAAAATAATATTTAGGAAGGTAGGATAATGAGTATATAATATATATATATATAGATTAAAGTGTATAACAGGTAAGGTATCTAATAAAGTAGATGGTTATGCAGATAGGCACTATGTATATATATATTTATTCATTCATAAACTAGATTAACATAATGTGTAATATATTCCTGAGCACATGTTAAGGTCACTACTCACTGCTAGATACAATCAGGATATATATATATACTCATAGATTTATATAAGTGCATTTATATAATTAAATTCTATAATCAGGGCGGGCTGGGAAGAGGTGTGTGTGGGTGGGTACTTAGTGGTAATGTGAAATAGATCCAGTGACCAGTAACCTTCATTTTAGGGTCCATGAAATCATTCTTAGATTATACTTAAAGCGATTAAAATTTTAACTCAAAAATATTTTCGTTTTCTGCAGTTTGAATTCACAATGTTAAAAAAGAGTTAAATCACAGATATTTCAAATTTTATTTTTTTCAAAGTTCCATTTGGAAACAATAGTTATAAACTATAATGAATGTGTGGGGAATGATACAGATACAAATATACAAGATACGCGACTAATAACTGAGCTATCGAAGATGTCCTTTTGATAAGTATTACTATTAACTATGCTATGATTCTATCCTTGAATAAACACAGCTACTTGTGCCTGGATAGATAGACATTTAGATAGATTTACATAGAGATAGATAGACAAACATATAGATAGACAGAGAACCAGATATATAGACAGATACACAACCAGAGCTGGTAACTTTTGAATGGTGGATATCGGGATTAAGGCTTGATCCACTCCTTTTCTTAATCTCGAGATTAAATAATGCTTGTTCTCCTCTTGTTATTAATCTCTAGATTAATTAACCGATCGAGATTAAGGATATCCCATTCTAAAGTTTTCAGCTCAAATAGATTGAGAGATAGATATGTAAATAGATACACAACCAGATAGATTGAGAGATAGATATGTAGAATGTAGATAGATACACAACCAGATAGATTGAGAGATAGATATGTAGATAGATACGCAACCATATAGATTGAGAGATAAATATGTAGATAGATACACAACCAGATAGATTGAGAGATAGATATGTAGATAGATACACAACCAGATAGATTGAGAGATAGATATGTAGATAGATACACAACCAGATAGATTGAGAGATAGATATGTAGATAGATACACAACCAGATAGATTGAGAGATAGATATGTAGATAGAAAAAGTCACAAACAGAAAGAAATAAAGATAGATAGATATAGACAAAGGCATAAATAGAAAATTATATTTGAGCAAAAATAATTTTTACTTTTTAACACGTTTTTAAAGTTTTTACTAAACTTAAGAAAAAAACTCTGTTTTGCTTTTTTACCTTGTGATAAATAAAAGGATGTATTCCTACTTTGTTAGCATAATATAATCTGAAAACATTCATAAATAAATATGTATAGAGATTAGAGAATTTAAATGAAATGGTAAAAAAATAATCTTAAGAAGGAAAAATTATAGTTTAAAATTGAAGAAAATGGCGAATAAACATTAAAAAAAATGAGAAAAGATTATGAACGTTTTTAAGAACCATGTAAGCTACTTTTTTGACCCTGGAGGATTTTTGTTGACTTTTTGTCCCAAACTCTGATTTTCTAATCTTTATCTCTGCAACACGATGTAGTAGATTTTTTATATTTCAAACCAAAAGTTCTGCTAAAGTTCTGCTAAGTTAAAACAAATCAAAGGTTTCTGAATAAGAAAAGGAATTGAGTCTTTGCCACGAACTTGAATTTTCCAATTCCTATATTTTTGCAACCAGATGGTGTAAGCCTTGAATATTTCAAACTTAGCTTATTTTATCTAACAGAATAATTAGTTTGAAATATCTAAGGTCTCCGACATTGGGCTGCAATGATATAGGGAATAGAAAATTAGTGTTTGTGGCAAAGACTTAATTCCTTTGCGTTTGTGAAAAAAAAACTTAATTACTTTTTGATTCAGAGTTCCTTATTTCTTTAGTCTTTAAAGATTGGTACTCCAGATTTACTTTCCATTAAAGAAACTGTAGACTTGCTTATGAGCCCCAGTCCTCGATCTACAGAGGGACAAGTCTGATACACAACGGTACCCTTTACACCAATGTCTAAGCAAAAATGATTGAGTTATAACTGTCGTGCTTTCAACAAATTCCTTATTAATTTCCTTTGCGGTTTCGGTACAATTGGGATTTGTGAATTTATTATTACAGAAAAAAAAGAAAATTGTGAGAATGAAATATTTTTTTAGCCGGAAAAGCGATGATATTTTGATCAGATGAAGGTTTAAAGGATACCGTTTAGCTGGAGGATAAACTAAAAATACTAACAGACTCTTCAGCGTTTAATTTATATAAAAAAATTAATAAAGCTTTTTATTCATTAAATCCATCCCATTTCATAAATTTTTAGAATTCGTTATTTGGATGGACGGAATCGGAATTAATAAGTTCTAGCTTGGGAACCCAGGTTAGTCATAGTTAGTCCCACCGTTTACCCGCGCCTTGTCGTAAATTACGAGTTAATCTACTTTTCCTGATAACAGCTTCGACCCACTCAACTTAGAATATTAAAACCAAGCTTAGAAAATTGAGCCTCACGAGTTCCCCAACCAAAATTTGTGGCAAATCGGTCTAGGGGTTCCCTAGTTATGATCGGACAGACAAACAGAGATTACAACTTTATAAGTTTATATACTATAGATACCGAGATAGTTGGTGTGCTACCGTTGTATCCTGGCACACTACTGAATTAATCTACCGGCTTCTTAAGCGCCGGCGCCTTTAACATCGTGGGGGAGGGAGGTGGCGCCTGTGTGAAACAATCCAATTCGTAATACAATCAATATTAATCGACGATTAAATAATATGGGATTTATATTGGTACATTTACACAACACAATTTTTATTCCTGAAATATGTTTGTAAGCATATTTAGTTATACTTTTGCACTAACCCCCATTATAGAAACCCAAAATTTGAAGAAAAAACTAATTTTATCTCCTCAGACCGAAAGGAAGTGAGTTGTTGCCTCAAACTCAAATTTACAATCTATATATCTTTGCAACCTGAGGGTGTAAACATTTGATATTTCAAACTTAGACTATTTGATCTAATCGAATTCGAAAATAAAGTTTGTGGCAAAAACTTTGGAAAAACTTGAAGGAAACAGAATTTATTTTGATCACACACATTTTTAAAAACTTTTATACTTTAATTTCAAAGGATGAGTTATGGCGAATGTTTGCATTTTCTATTTCGCAAATAACAATTTTATGATATTGGCAAAACATGAGAAGGTTGCAAAATATTTGGCTAAAACAAATTTCTTCCAAAATAAACCAAACTTTAAATTTAACCCCATTCATGTTTTAATTTTTTAAGCTAAAATAACATTAAGATAATTTATAAAATTTGTATAAAATTTTATAACAATGAAGATATTCATTATAATAACAATAAGCTTCCCAGGATAATCAAGATAAAAAAGTGTAGGTGTAAGTTGAAGCCACCTCGCCTGTACATTGTACATTATACAGTGTACAGTGTACAGTGTACAGACTAGGTCGGAGCTTTAGTGTAAAATGGCACTAATCTAAACTCTAAATTCTGCACTGGAAACTTTTAGTTTAGCGATTAAGAAGTCAGTCTGTGAAAAACAAGTGACTCCTATGTTCGCGATCTCCCATTGAACTTGGATGGGGAGGAAGTCACAACAATTTCTCGTCCGAGCCACATTTTCCTCATTTTCTCGTCCGAGCCACCTCGAAATCCTCGTCCTTTCAAAATTATTTTTTAAAGTGTCAAATCCTCCCAGCTAAAACTATTTTTTTAAAGTCTTTCTTTACAAATGTTCACCTTTTTTAACCGCATTTTCAGTTACTCCTGGTGTAGAATGCCGTAAATAATTCTGAGCTTATAGAACGGGTGGTTCCGTTGGGAAAATGATAGGCAGATAGGCAGATGCAAATATTTTATCATTATTTTTTCGCGAAGGCAGAAGAGATTTAAGTTTTACCTAAATAAAGTTTGACATCATTCTCATGGGTTTGAAGATTCCAACATGATGATGATTTCAATTTTTTAGTATATCCATGTTTTATGCACTGATGTGGCCAGATTTTTATAATAGATTTTTATAATCGAAGGATGAGGATTCCGAGGTGGCTCAGACGAGAAAATGAGGAGAATGTGGCTCGGACGAGAAATTGTTGTGGTTGGCTTCCTCCCCTCAACCTTGAGAGATGGACTACAAAATATATATTGACTAATAGATTAGAGATTAAAAATAAAAGAATTTAACCTTAGGTTAGGGTACAACTTTAAATCAATTAATGGATAAATAAAAATTTGAATAAATATTTATTAAATATGATTAACTCAGATGCACTATATAAAAAACATGTAATATACAAAAATACATTTTTAAAAGTCCTGCTTTTAAGTTTTTATCTAAATTACCAATCAAACATAAATTTTCGAATTCCAAATTAGATGGATTTTTGTAGAGCTCATTGAAAACCAAATATCTTTTAATGTAAAAGCAATATTAACAAACACTGGTTGCATCAATAAATCAAGATTGTTAGTCTAACAACGCCGTAATTTTAAAGTAATTTTACTTTTGAAACATTGGTCTTTAAACACACTAATGCTTGAGAGTAAAATCTTTAAATTGGAGAATAAAATTTCTGAAATGACTCCATGTTTTTTGTTTTTGAGTTAAAACTGTTTAATTCACAAATAACTATGATGTAAAACTCGAGAAAGAAATGATTTCACTTGCTAGTGTGAAATAACAAATGACTTCTAAAACTGTAGGAAAAATAAAATATCAACTTGCAAGCAATTCACTTTTTTATATATATTTGATTTATATGGAAAATTTAGAGCCAGCTTTGCTTGGAAACTAAGATTTCTCTATAAAGAACATTTCCGTGGTTCGACCAAGTTTACTAATCAAAATTTAAGGCAAATCGGTAAAAAGGGTTTATGAGTTATGATCGACGTACTTTATATATGCCATATTGTAAGTAACCAAACCAAACTGATTGATGTTATAAAGAGTAATGAGTATAAATTATGATTCCTAAATGTTTTCAACTGTTCTGAAACTAAAACTACAGTACGAACCAGAAAACTGTAGAAGAGGAAGACGACATTGTAGCAATGATTAAGTGTATTTGATGTTGTTATGAAGCAAAGTGTTTTACTAATAACTTACTAAATCACTTATCAAGTGAAATGGGTCTGTACAATTTTTTATGTTAATTAAACTACTATTTAGAGTCATAAAAAGTCGTCTTCCAGTTCCAGAGTTTCCTGGTTCTCATCGTAATCTCATCTTTCTTATCAATCTTTAGTTTAATCGATAATAACACTATTATTAAACATTTCTTCCATAATTTTACTAAGTATTCTATGTTTAACAGCAGCAAATACGAACTTCACATTCTCAGCATCAGTAGCACAGGTTATATGACTGTAAATCTCAGGCCTGAACAGATTAAATTTTTTAAAGATACATTTTTTTATCATAATTTATTTTGGGGCCGCAGACCTGAACCTGTTTCCTGCTTGAGTAAACTTGTCTGCAATAAACTCTCTTGCTTCAATATGATCCCCAGGAAGTCCGTTGTAATCAGGAAACGTTTTCTAAATTCAATTTAAAACTTTTACATTTCAACCTCAAATTAGACTTTTTGAATGATTGTATTGGAGTCTGTCACTTCGATCATTATCGTAATAGTAACAACAGATAAAAATTAGCTTATTTAATACATCCTGCTTTGAAAATTTATTTCAGAAAAAATTTTTGAAACTTTAATTCTAAACTTGACTTATAATCTTTTCTAGATATATATATAATATATGTATATAATATATATATATATATATATATTTACTAACCTTGAGTGGAAAAAGTCTAATTTTATCTTGAAAAATATCCTTTTTGTTCAAGAAGAGAATCATAGCTCCAGACTGAAGCCAAGGGTTGGATAGAATTGTTATATACAGGTACAAGGACTCATCCAGTCTACAATTATAAATTAAAGGGACTGTAAGCGTAATTTCAAGTGAACCTCCTAGGGTGGCTGGATCTTAGCTACCTGTTTATATTAGCCTGAGTGTACACCTAAGTTTACTGATACATGATATAAAGAGATTATAGCATAGTCATCAGTATAAACATCAAATATGCAGTTAGCTTTTTCAGTACAAGTGATGGGAAGGTTTTGTATCTTGAATTTTACTTTGTTTTGTTTGGATTTTAGTAGTTAAATGAAAAATAAAATTCTCCATTTATATATTTTTAGAAATCATCCTCGAGTACCTCGTTGGACTCTCCATAGAAATCCCAATTCCCAATAGTACCCTTGAAATTAACCTTCATCTGATCAATAATGTGAATCATATTGTAGTTTTTCTAGGTTTAAAAGTGTTTAATTCTTTTATGTTTTTCTGCATGTCAAGAGAAACCAGAATTGAAAATATTGAGTTTTCGAAATTATAAACGTTGATATATAATTCCTACTCTAGCATTGTCATCATTTATGGAGGGTCACTTAAAATTACGCTTACAGTTCATCCCTTTTACGTGCAGAGCAATATGTCAAAGGATTTGAGGTTTAGACACAAACTCTGATTTTCAAATGGTTATATCTATACAGCCTAATGGCATAGACATTTTCAAACTATATCAAAGGTTCACACAAAAGGTTGCATAGATCGGAAAATTTTAGCTTGTGACAAAAACTCAATTTCTTTTAAGTTTTCTAAAATAGTATTGGAGCAACGCAGGGCAATTTGAGTCTTTTAGAGAACAAAATTTGTGCAGTCTGAGCTTTTTCCTCTAAAAACTTTGATTGAATTGGCGACTTTTTAAATTAAGTCTTTAGCTTTGGTCATTGTCAGTGTACTGAAGAAATGTTGCAGCCAAGGTTACTAACCAACATGTTGGTTAAACATATTATAAATATAATATTAACTATTTATAACAACGTTATTTTGGTTCGCAGTGTTATAAAGTTTTACAGAAATTTTCTCTTAACTTAACTTTCACGTTCATTATGAAATTCACGATGAAGTGAGGAAGAATGATAAAGTACACAATAGTTTCATAAAAGTATATTATAACATATCATGACTAAAAATTAATTATATTGTATAATTTCAGTCTTCTTTGCTCAAATTGCTTTGAACTGAACTGCTCAAAGTTTGTTTTAACCAAGAGTCAAATTGCCCTGTGGTGTGTTTTAACTAAAATTTGGAAGATTTGAGATATTGCTTGGAGAACACGGCTTTCTGTTGAACTTAACAAAAGAAATTGAGTCTTTGCCACAAACTCACATTTTCTAATCCTTGTATCTTTGCAGTGTGATGGTGTAGAACCTTGGAGATTTCAAACTTCGGTTATTTGATCTAACAGAACTCAAAGTTTAGAGTATCTAAAATCTACTGATTAAGAATTAGAAAACCAGAGTTTGTGGCAAAGGCTTAATTCCTTTGTGTACACCAAGTTTATTTAAAAACAAACTTTTTTTCTATAAATTGAAGGATTTAGTTTAGATTTTAAACTACCATGAATAGATATACAAAGTGCAGTTAATAGTCATGAGATGGAATTTAAAGAATTTGAGCCGCGGTTTAAATCCGCCAAAACCCGGTTTAAATTAAGCGCCGGCTTAAATCTTGAAACATTTGATACAATTTTAAGTGGAACCAACCATATTTAAACCGCGGCTTAGATTTAAACCGCCGCTTAAATTCTTTAAATTCGGCCGATGTATGCGTCCCTACAAGTTTAGGGAACTGTGAGGTTAAATTAGATAAATAAATACGTTTCTAGTTCATCCCAAACAGAACATATGCGTCACACTAAACTTTACGGTAGTCATTAATTCTTTAGAAATATTTTTTTTTGTAAAAAAGTACATATTTGAATTATGAATCAGAAGTTCAGAACCAGAAGATTTAATATTTAAAATGATTTTTTTACCTATTCATTGTTGGATCTTCCACTAGAGTTAGATTATATTCTGCTAAACTAACCAGGAATATTATTGATGAAACATCCTGAAAAAAGAAATTGAGTTTTGCCATAAAATCAAATTTTCTAATCCCTTTATCTTTGCAACCTGATGGTGAAAATCATTGATAATTCAAACTTAGATTATTAGATCCAACAGAATTCATAGTCTGAAATATCTGAGGTCTCCAACATACGGTTGCAAAGATGCAGTTATAAGAAAATTGAGTTCATGGCAAAGACTCAATTCTTTTATATTGCTATTCAGCAAGTAACAAGTAAAATACAGTGGTAGGCGATTAAAGCAATATAATGAAGACGACTTTTTATTTAAGTTTTAATCGAGTTTTTTCGAGTTAAAGTTTGCAAGTAATTAAAGAGAAGCTTTTTTAATCGACAGCTTCTCGTTGTTTCTGTTTTTTTGTTTATCCGTGCTGTTTCAAGCTTGATAAAAATAAAAATTGAAATCGAAAGTCATCTTCATTATAATGATAAAAACGCCTACCACCGTAAATAAACTTTTTTTTAGAAAAATAACCTTTTACCTTTAAATAACAAAATATTTGCACACAAAAACTGTAATATATTTATTAAAATACATGAACATGTCCTTGAACATTTTTTAGAAATAAAAACTTGCATGAAGAATTAGATAAATTAAAAAGTTTAAGATTGGAAACGTACTTGGAAGCAATGAATCCATTTTCTTCGCTCAGACCTTTGCCCCCCAACATCAACCAGTCTACGGAAACAAAACTATCTTTTTCTTGAAAATAACTTAAATATATTTCAATTTGAAATGTTGAAATTGAGTGATGGTCTTGTGTGCGTATTTAATTTTTCATGAAAAACGGAAGAATATTAGATATTCGAAGTTTAGGATTTGGATTTTGTATAGAAGATTGAATGAAATTTAAAAAAAAAAATTGTCCTTTGATGTGCTGTGGATTAACCCCTAGTAAAATAAGTTTAAAAATAAATTCCGCGTATACAAAGACGATATTAATATACACTGAAATGTGTGGAAGGATGTATGAATAGAGAATAAATGATTGACAGTTAACCTGAATTTAACATCTCCAAAGGATAAACATGTTTCAAGTATTCCTGTAGACGCCTAAGCAGTAGGAAATCAGGAATTCAAATTACCCCGAGAGGCTCCAAAATATAAACAAACTTTATTTTGCACTTTTCCTCTTTTACAAACTATGAAGTTCCTTCAATTCTATCGAATATTACTTGCTGAATTATAAAAAGAAACGTTTCATAATTTTTAATCTTTAAGTTGCCACAAAAAAAATGCCATTGTATTTTTTGATATCTTTACATTAATTTAACAATTTCCTTGTTTTTAGGTAATCGTCTCAAAAGGAACCGGGTTTTGTAACCTTATGGTGTAAACCTTTGATATTTCAAACTTAGATTATTTGATCTAATACAATTCATAGTTTGAAATATCAAAGGTCTCTAACATTGGGTTGCAAAGATAAAGGGATCAGTAAATTAGAGTTTGTGGCAAAAACTCATTTCCTTTGCGATCATTTCCTCCAAGATAGTAAACATCTACCTTTCTCATTCTAAGAACATCCTCATGTTCTGGGATATAATCATCTTCAATTATTCTTCTTCCATTCCTTTAATAAATTTTATTAGGTTAAATAGGCTACAGAGGTTTGTGTTTGGTCAAATACGATATATCTATAATTAATAATTGCAACCTGAAAAAGTATGTAGCAGAATCAGGAAGAGTGAAAAGGGCTTCAGCTTCAAATATATCCTGTATCTTTGGATCATCCAACAAATCTCTATTTTAGTCAAACTACAACTGTAACCTTTGTATTTTTTCATGGCCTTGCAACTCTTAATTAAGATTTCTGAAAAAATAAAATCAATCAAATCAATTATTTTGCTTAAAATCTCAACTTCTCGTTTTGGACGTTTTTTTCTAAATTTTTTTTCTATTTGAAGAATTAACAATTGTGTTTCCCTAATATCTGATTTTTCTAAAGATTTAAGTCCAATGTGTTTATGTATTTTGTTTAATTGGTTTAAATCCTTCTTCTCTAGTTCTATATTTTCCTTCAGCAGCTCTAGTACACTTAGCATACAGTCCACTGGAAAATAGATAAATTAGATATTTTGAACTTTGAAGTTATTTTTTATAATTTTGCGCATCCCTAATGTAAATTTGAGTTATTTTTGTGCATAAAGCAAAAAAGCTCTGAGTCTTTGCCACAGTAATTGATCCTTATCTTCGCAACCCAACGTTGTCGGAGACCTGAGATATTTTAAAATATGAATTCTGTTAGATCAAATCATCAAGTTTAAAATATCAAAGGTTTACAACACACCATCAAGTAAAATATTTATCAAGCAAACTGAGAATTAGTAAATATATTTACAATTAACTGACCTAAATTTTGTAAAATAATAGATCTGGCTTCCTCAAGTTCTCTAGGTGTAAACCCAGTCCCATGTAAAATCTTCATGTGTCTGAACAAATGTAAAATAAATTATGTACAACTGATAAAATTCCTGTAAAAACTCACACACCGAATCAAATAAAAAGTATGAACAATTTTGAATATTTTTATTATAAAACCTTTTTAAAAATGTTTCATGTGTGGAATAAAGTTTAATTCAACCAATGATCGAAAGTTGTACAACAAATATTATGACCAGGTTGACTTTAAAGTGTCACATGGTCGTCTTGACCATTGTAAAACTTGTATTTAGCTTTAGTTTAAAAGGAGTAAAGGACAAAATCCTGATAAAAAACTATAAATACATTATGCATAGTTTGTATTAATTTCCACAGATTAATGGTTGACCTTTTATCTATATCTTTATTGGATTATGGAACTTTCTAAAAACTTGGTATACCTTATAAATGTAGACTTTCCGGATTCTCCTGTTCCTGTACAATGTACATGTAAAGTTAGAACTTTATAAAATAAACTGAATTTCTTAAATAAATTTAATTTTGATGATATTACCAAGGAAAAGAATTTTGTATGTTTTCTTTGATTCTCTTTTATCCCTAAACAAAGTAAATATTGAACAATCCTAAAGAAGTTATTACGTTTTTATTCAAAGGGACTGTGAGCGTAATTTCAAGTGACCCCCTCCGTTCAAAAATGACATAGCCCGATTCACACCGAACCCTTTAAACTACGATATTTTCAATATGTTTTCTTGCAGCAGAAATGCGCGAGACAGAGTTAAAAATACTCAGTTTTAAAAATTATAAAGATTTATACCTAATTCATACTTGAATCAGACGAAGCTTTTATGAGTACCGTTGTGAATCGGGCATTGCCTATTTTCATCTTTGCATGAAGGGTCACTTGAAATTACGATTACATCTATTCTATTTTCTATTTATAAGAACAATAAAAAATAATTAAACTATTAAAATTGTGTTTAAATAAAAAAATTCTTGAGATTTAAAACAAAAATTTAAACTTTAAGCTGTTCATGCGTTCTACCTCTTCAACTGTTTTTCTATCTCTGAGTTTATTCTTCTCATTTCCCGCTCATTCTCCGGCCATAGGCATTCAATACTGTCCAACATAGATACAATCTAGGATATTCATCAATACTGTCCAACATAGATACAATCTAGGATATTCATCAATACTGTCCAACATAGGGATATTCATCAATACTGTCCAACATAGATACATTCTAGAATATTCATCAATTCAGTCCAACATAGATACAATATAGGATATTCATCAATACTGTCCATCATAGATACAATCTAGGATATTCATCAATACTGTCCATCATAGATACAATCTAGGATATTCATCAATACTGTCCATCATAGATACAATCTAGGATATTCATCAATACTGTCCATCATAGATACAATCTAGAATATTCATCAATACTCGCCAACATAGATACAATCTAGGATATCCATCCTATACATTCTGTATCATATATCCTGTATTACGAATACTGTATCTTATATCAGAAATATTAGACCGGCCCTATCCTGTATCCTTCTACATATATTGTGTATTTAGTAACTGAAGGAATGTATCCTGAGCAGGAAACTTTTGAATGGTGGATATTGGGATTAATGCCTGATCCACTCTTTTTCTTAATCTCGAGAATAAATAATGCTTTTCTTCCTCTTGTAATTAATCTCCAGAGCTGGGAAGTATAGAATGGTGGATATCAGGATTAATGCTTAATCCTCTCTTTCTGCTAATCTCGAGACTTACATAATCTCGAGATTATGTAAGTCTCCAGATTAATTATTTAGGTCAACAAATTATATTCCTGCACTCTCATTGGACAAAGTAATTACGGATATCCAAAGAGAGAGAAAATGAGTGGATTAAGGACTAAAATTAAAAGTTTCCACAATGGATATTTGGATTAAGCAGTCGGGATTAAAGGTTATCCATTCTAAAGTTCCCGTCTCAGATTAATTAACCGATCGGGATTAAGGGTATTCCATTCTAAAAATTCAGCACTGTGCATTTTGTAACCGGATTAAATCCTGGATATTAAGCAATTGGATTAATTTAACCTGTTTTTTTTTGTAACCGGATTAATGTATTTTTTCATCGGATTAATTTATCATGTGTATTTTGGTAACCGGATTAATGGATTCTATTTATTTTGTAACCGGATTAATTTATCCTGTGTATTTTGTAACCGGATTAATGTATCCTTTGTATTTTGTAACCGAATGAATGTATTCTGTGCATTTTGTAACCAGATTGATGTATCCTATGTATTTTGTATCATGTATCCTACGTCCTGTAATCTGTATCCTGTATCCTTTGTCCTGTGTATTTTTTAACCGGATTATGTATCCTTTTTATTTTATAACCGAAGGAATGTATTCTGTGCTTTTTGTAACCAGATTAATGTATCCTATGTATTTTTTATCGTGTATCCTACGTCCTGTATTCTGTATCCTGTGTCCTTTGACCTGTACTATTCTCCAGAAATATGTCAAGAAATGAATCACTATTGAGAATATGCTCCATTAATAAGGACGCACATTGAGGGCACACACTATAGGGACGCAAAAAATTGTCGTATCAGTACACAAATATACATGTGAAGTATTTATTTAGATCTTATTCTACAGTATACAGTTTACTGTGTTTAGAGTATAGGCCCTTTAACGTTCACACATATTAACCCGAGATATCGCATTCAACTGATTGATTTAAATCTCCTTTAGAATTCAAGGGTAATCAAGAATTTAGGGTAAAGGGGGTGTATTCAACCCCCCCCCTCTCCCATACTTTTGTCCCTCTAATACAAGAGGATTTTTGATGTATTTAAGTAAATATAAATTTGATCCTGAGAAGCCCTCTGTGTTAGAATTACCCCTTAAGACACCAGGTTCCCTTCTTGTTTATTTTACTTACGGAGAAACACACACACATCTCTTTTCTTAAACTTGGGTAGATTGTAGATTGTATATCCTACCTAGAGATCTAATTAGTTCCTAGTATCCAGTATTTATTTGGAAACGGGGACGGTAGAGATCTAATTAGTTCCTAGTATCCACTATTTATTTGGAAATGGGAACGGTTTAGATTAAAGATTTGTTATTAGTCATGAAAAAATCTGATGTGAACCTGATCCACCTATATAAAGTGTAGAGATGCAAAGGTTAAAAGTTTTTACCAATTGTGAAAAATTTCCGTTTATAGACCTGATTTCCGTTAAACTCCTGATTTCCGTAAACAATCATAATTTTCGTATATATTCCTGATTCTCGTATATAATCCAGATTTCCGTAAACACTCATAATTTCCGTATATATTCCTGATTCTCGAATATAATCCAGATTTCCGTAAACACTCATAATTTCCGTATATATTTCTGATTCTTGTGTATAATCCAGATTTCCTTAAATATTTCTCAGCCAATGAGAAGTATTGTCCTTATCTTTAAGTCAACAATATATGTTTAACCCTACATACACAGGGGGTCCCACAATATTCATTCGGAAATTAAATAACAAGTTTCCAACCTTCTTCCTTAAAATTTTTTCAAGATGATAGAAACTCATAATCTGTAATTTGCAAACTTATTATAACATTTTTTACTCAGGAGTAGTTGAATTGTTACAGTGTTCAAAATCTTCATTGATTTGAGACAGCTTGTACGAAATACTATACACTCAGTTTACTCAATACGCTTCTGCTAAAACCGTTATTTTCCGGAGTGATCGTTGAATATAGAACTATCTTTTAAATTATAATTTTGTAATAGTGAAAATTAGACAATGAGATTTGTAGAAAAAAGACAATTAATAAGTAAAAAGTGATAAAATGAGAAGAATAATAAAAATATTGATCACATTTATTTTCATTACAACAGGTTGAGCCGCTACGAAAAGAAATTAAATTAGATGGATCAAATTAAGCAAATTAAATCAAAATAAATCAAAGTACACCAAAGTGAATCAAAGTAGAATAAAGTAAATATGAGTAAATCAGAGTAGATACTAAAAAATAAATAAAATTAATATTTTTTAAAGCAAAATCAAAATAAGTCAAAGTAGACAAATAAAAGTCAAAGTTATCAAAACGAATTAAAATAAAAAAACTAATGAAATCTAATTAAATGAAGCCTCGAGAATGAGATCCGCAGATCGAATATTTGAATATCTTTATTTTAGGTTCCCTGTTCCTTTTTCTTGTAGAAAACCGTGTACGCGTACAGATGAAGAATAAAGCAGAGAGGTAACATGATCATTGATCACGGAAATGAAGGTCAAAAAGAGAACAAACGGTTTTAGACTCCGTGAAGGGTATCTTCTATTTATATAATTACAAACTAATAATCTCTATTTGTCAGTATGTTTGGATGTCGGATCTGAACTCATGAACCCCTGGACCGATTTGCCTCAAATTTTAAACTGGGTTGGCTTATTATAGAGATTTTTTTTCAAGACATATCTAGGTTCCCAAGCTAGTCTGTTATAAACAAAGATAATATATATATAGATATGCAGGCAGGTAGAAACCTCCTTCCTAAATTGCTTGTAGCAGACAACTAATTTTTGAACCTCTGAGAAAATGTACAAGGAGAGACATCTATAGCAAATTGATTACTTCCTATATTCCTTTCTCCCCTTGCTGCTATCTGTAGGAAATACGCATTTGTGTTATATAAACATACAGTACGCGTATTGCATCCTGTATAGTTCAAGTGTTGCTATCTGGACCTGTTTGGCCAATAAATTTAAATTTCAAGGTAACACAAACATACAGTACGCGTTTTGATTATGTTATGCAGTCAGAGATTTAAAGATTTGAATGTTTTAGACAAGGTGAACTTTGAAGACACCTTTTTCTAAAAATGAAGATGGCTTTCAGGCTCAAATTTTGATTTTTAACAGTCCAATGAACATAAAATATACAGAAATTTTGCCGTGTAGTGGAATTTTTTATATTGTAATCCTGAATTAAGTTTTTAAAAGCCATTGCCTTGGCAATTGCCTCGGCAAATTTAAATATGCAAAAATATTTGCAGAATTTCTTCGCAAAAGTTGTGAAATTGGCTTTCTTTTGTTAAAGGCTTTTCTAAAAGTTGTAAGAAGTCAAAATCCAATGACCGGAGGTAGGTCTAAATATAGATTTAGTCGGGTAAAGGTAAGATAAGGCATTCAGACAATATGCCTGAAGACTCAGGCAGTAGGTATAAAATCCCCACTTTGAGCCAAAAGTAATGGGCATGTGTTAGTTAGAAAACTCAAAAAGTTTGAAGAGCCTCAGACCAATACTTTTATAGTCTCCAAAAATGTCAGGGGGAGGGTGGTAACCTAACCCCCCCCCCAGCCAGAATTGGGCTAACTTTATTGCATAATAACAAAGAAAAGATTAACAGTTCCTTCCTGCATTTGTTTGCAGAATTTTCTATGAATTTGGAAAGTTTAAAAAACAGAAGTTTAAAGGGACGGTTTACTTATTTGGTTAATTTCATGGCAAATTTGAATTATTTAAAAAAATTAAACTAAGGCTATCAAAGGCGATAATGGACTGGGGCTGGCTCATTTATTTTTTATATACCAATCAAATTGAAGTTTTGATCGCACCAAACCTAGGATGATAATTTTAGGAAAGTAATGGAGTTTTTTTTAGTTTTTGGGGTTAAGGGGGTGATGAGCCAGTTCTGAGCCATGAAGAGCCAGGAGCAACCGACCATAGTAGTGTTGAATGGGATGTATTGTTCGACCGGATCCTGTCCGCTATTAGGACTTTGTCCTAGATTCGATGTACTTTTTAGTCATAATTTTTATTTAAATTGCGTTAATTTACGTATGCCATTCAGTACAACTTGCACATTTAAACTTTGTCTAGTCAAATTCCTACCTCAGTTTTATTTGCATTGATTAATTTGTTTCATTAAGTACAATATGCAGTATACATTGTTGATACTATAGTACGCATTTAGTGTTATCACGCATAAACAAAGTGATAAATTAGCAACAATCCAGAGGATAAATGCCATGCGTACGACAGAGATGGTGCTGTTTGCACCTTTTCTCAAGACCTCAAAATTTATACCTGCCTGCATATCTATATATATATTATCTTTGGTTATAAAAGAAGAATGTTTACATAACTCCAGTATTATGTGCGAAATTGATTTATTGCTGTATTTTGTTAATTAGTAAGTAGAAAGTGGTAAATAGACAACAACAAATCTGTACTTTCTGGCATCTATGCATTGGCCAGTAAAAATGTAAACTTAGTCCAAAAACGCTACACCGTAGATTATTTTAGATTCGGACACAAACTATTTTTTACTTTTTAGATTCTACAATAAAATTTTTGAGTCATAAAAATTCAAACAAAGTTTAATATGGGTATATTCCAACGAGGTCATAGCATATAGAGTTATGATTTACGCTAATCCTTTACTAATTGTACAGGTCATGTATTTTACTTCCAAAGATCAATCTGTATATTACAGTACTCGGGGGTGATTTCTGAAAATATTTGAATGGAGATTTTTTTTCCATGTAACTATTAAAATCCACTACTCCTTTATCATATCCAGGATTACATTTGCACATGAAGATGTGCTATTACAGTCTTTTACAGAGCAGTATTATATCGTTAATAAACGGTTCTGAGAAAACTCAAAACTTAAGATACAAAACTTGTACTCCGTGAGCGTACTGCATATTTGATGTTTGTGCTGTATCATTAGGCCATAATTTCTCAATATCCTTTATCAGTAAACTATGCTAAGTGTACACACGGAGAGGTAGCTAAGATCCAGCCCCCAAGAGCCCAAAATTTAAAAGAGTATCGTTGAACGAAACTCCCGAGCTTCCTTTTTGGGGTCTTAATATTTGTGTAGATTTTGATTTAAGAGATTCGGAAAAAATGGAGAATATGAAGAAACTAAATAACATATTATTTTATAACAAAAATATTGATATACACAAAACTGTCTAACCCCATACGTGAAACCCGGGTTTTAAAGCTGGTTTTCATAACGATACCCTGTCTTAAGTTTTGGGCTCAGAGCCCAAAACTTAAGACAGGGTATCGTTGTGAAAACCAGTTTTAGAACCCGGGTTTTACGAATGAGGTTAGGCAGTTTTGTGGATGTCAATATTTACTTTATGAAATATTATTTTATTTAGTTTATTCATATTCTCCATTTTTTTCGAATCTCTTAAATCAAAATCTACACAAATGTTAGACCCAAAGAAGGAAACTCAGAAGTTTCCTTCAGCGATACTCTTTTAAAATTCGGGCTCTGGTAAATTCCAATGAACGACTTTAAATATTCAAAGAAAATTTGTAAACTCCTAAAATCATGCTCAAAGGTCTCATTTTAAGTCTAAAAGAATTGTACAAATATGACATTTTTATTTTCTGAAACGGTGCATTGTCTTCAACATAATTAAACAGTTAGATTCGTAGTCACCTATAGCATGTTTTTTGAAATTTTTACGTAGACGAGAAATCAGGCCGGATGCTGACAAAAACTCAAATATTATCTATTTACTACCTTATTGTGCACACCTTTGATATTTCAAACTTAGACTTTTTGATCTTAAAAAGCTTCATACTTTGAAATATCAAAGGTCTATGAATTCGGTTTGCAAAAACTGAGAAATTAGAGTTTGTTGCAAAAAATCATCTCCTTTTGTAATCTAGGACTCCAGCGCAAGAGCGCACCGTTCTTCAAGTTGAGAAATTAACCAAGTTTACATCAAGTGAAGTTGAAATCAACAAGGAATTATATTTTACAAAATTTTAATTTATTTATCTTTTAGAATACAAATAATGGTTTCTTTTACATTCGTTACAATTAAAAAAATAAAATTTATTTGTTACAGAGCATTTTTTTCCTAGAAACAGGCGGACTCAAGTTTATTACGACCAGGTTAGAATATTTTTAAATGTGTGTAGAAATGTAACTAAAATTATAATTTCTACAAGTAAAATAATGCAGACACTGGGACACAGAAATCTGTGGACTTAAGAAGACAATTAAACAATCGTCTGTGTATTCTATGTTGTTATATGTTGTCAATGTAAAATGGGTCTGTGTACATTGTAAAGCGCAATATTTTTGTGTTTCATTTTCATTGTCCTTGAGTCTAAAAGTCATCCTTTAATTCCACTGTTTCAAGTTTTCCAAAGTCTTATATAAATATGTTCTTAAACGTTAGATGTTTGTCTGACGCTGATCAAGGTGGTTTTGCTGGTTTTAAAACAATTAAACTGTCAATATTTAAAGATCAAACACTATTTTTGTTCTAAGTAGTTTTACATATCATACCATATATATAGTGAGACCCATAAAACTCTGGAAGAGGACTGTTAGATTCAAGTTATGATTTTAAATAGTCCAATGAACATGAAACATTACAACTGTGCAGTGTACACATGTCAATTTTAACATATTAAATCGATATTTAAGCTAGCGGTAACAATGTTTGCTTTTAAACAACATCAAAGACACAAAAGATTGTCTAAATGATTTCCTCCTATTTCACATTTGTATGGGTACCACTGTACATTTATATTTTTAAAGATTTGTCCTATAAGTACCAGGACCGTAGGTTGTCAATTTTCAGAGAGAAAAAAACTTGAATTTCCCCACATATCTAAATCCGTTTTCAGGGTAAATCATGCACCATTTAAAATAATAAAATGTATTTTTAAGACTAGCAACCTCCACTTGTTGAAAACTATGCAAATAGAAAATAATAAATTGTATTTTTACGATTCGCAATCCTCTTTGAAAATAAATCAAAAAAATAACAAACAAGCAGATATAGTTTAAATGAATCAAATATTAAAATTTTCCTGTGACATTTTACATGACGATAATGATAATGATAATTAAGGCAGGCGTGTGTTGTCGAATCTGCCTTATTACATCATCCTGATGTTAGAGTTTTTCTTCTAATTACTGGTATGTACATCTTTCCATCATATGCCAGGGTTACTCCCCCCCCCCCCACTCCCTCCCCTCCTCATTTCCTGGCATAAATACTGTTGATATCATGACACTCATTCACAAACTTAAAAATTTGTCAAATCTCGATTGACTGCAATTTATTAACAATGTTTATGCAATACTGAAGATGTTAAACTATAAACATTGTATATTTGCCTTATTTAAAAAATAATCTCAAAAATTGAGTTAGGTTTTAAGACTTGACGTTGGTTGGTATTTGCTAGAATGTAAAAGGCCAGAAAAATGACACCACATTTCTCTTTCGGCTCAAAAGTTCGAAAAAAGATAATCTTAGAACACTTTTAAAATTTTAATAAAATTTGGAAGATATATGTCTGTATTTGCTGAATTTTCTGAAACATTAAATAGATTTATATAATCAGGTGGAAATTCTTCAAGTATAAATGATCTGCGTGAAGATATTAATTTAAGGTAAACATTTGTTCTATGAATTTATAATCTGCGTGAAGATATTAATTTAAGGTAAACATTTGTTCTATGAATTTATATAGTATTGTCCCCTTTGAAGCAAGATTAAAACAAATGTCTCAAAACAAAGCTGTCATGAGACCTCATAGGTTGCAGGTTATTTTCTTTCAAGTCGAAAAATTTCAATTTGTGGATTAATTTTCAAACTTGAACTTTCGAGGTTTAAATATGGTAAATCAGAAAATTAATCTTCTGCACACTAAAACTTTGAAGTCTGTAGTCTTAGCACTCTAAGCTTATTCATGTGCCACATTTTGTTATCAACAGGTTATTAAAGTCAGTCTGAACTAGACTAATGTGAGTTAAGACTTGATTCTAAACTTTTAGTGAACAGGGATGTATCTTTTCTCCATTTATTATATTTATTTCAGAAGTCTGTTATCCTACCCTAATTTCAAGATCCGATATATTGACAATGTAGCTATTTTCAAGTAAGTATTGCAAAGAAATTGAGTTTTTAACCACAATCTCAAATTTTATAACCTTAATAATTTTACTACCTGACGGTAAAGACCTTTAAGATTTCAAACTTAGACCAATAGATTTTAAAGTTTGAAATATGAAAGATCTACGACATTGGGTTGCAAAGATATAGAAAATCTGAATTTGTGGCAAAAAATTGGTTCATTTAAGATTTGACGGTCAGAAGACAGTATGTAATCATTTTGAAGCCGTTTTATAATTAGAATGTGGGATTTATTATCTTTTGAGCACTTTTTCTGCTGACAAATTAGTGTACTAGACAAATTTATTGTTTATAGTTAAAAGCTTGACAAAAAAATTAGTCAACAAATTTGTGTGTTGACGAAAACTGTAAAAATTGTATTCTAAACATTAAATTTCACACAAAAAACTTCATGTTACATTTAGAAAAAGTCCCCTTTGGGATTGGTTTGTGTATTCCGACTGGCAGGCACAAAAACAGAGATCTCACATTTTAAGGTAATGTAATATATTTTTCAAAATCAAGGGATTGTTAACAATTATTTGAGTAGAGTCTCAATAAGAGAACCAATTTTTAATTTACTTTCCACTTTAATCGAAGAAGCAAAATAATCAGACCTCGATATTTTTTCCTTCTACAATATTTTTATACTAGTATGTCCGATTTATAATGGAACCTTCAATAGCGTTATCTGCAATCAAAAGCGAATGAGCTATCCATGTATCTCTTTTAAAGTTGATTATTTTTAATTGTGGTTTCTCTATAAAAGTGACTTGCAGACTTCTGCCTACAGAAACATTAGAGCCAACTCTCAGAATTAAACACTTCTTAAACTAGAAAAATGACCAGAGCTAAAAACTTTAGAATGGGATACCCTTAAAAAAAAAGGAGAACAAGCATTATTTAATCTGGAGATTAAGAAAAAGAGGAGATTAAGCATTGATTTAGATATCCACCTTTCTAAAGTTTTCAGCTCAGATATTCTACATTATTGATCAGATAAGAGAATAAAGGTTATCGGTGTGAATCGAGCAAGCTTTTCTTACAACTCACTTTGAATATCTTTAACATATTTTCCAATTTCTTTATTTAGATTTGCTCTGGGATTGATATTTCTTTTTGATTACGGCGGAGTAGTTTTATCCTTCAGTGTGCTCACTGTGCAGCGCATTCCTTTTAATTTTATTGGTAACGCACAGTGATTATGAATACTTTAATTGATTAATGAATATGCAGTGGATATTACATGGATATTGATATGTATATATATATATACATTGTTTTGTCTTAATTATAAAGACGATCTTGCAATCGTAAATTAATCTAAATATATCATTGTCTTGTATTTTGTAATAACAATAAAAAACCTAAAGCTTTGACAAATTTTTCGTCTTTTTACATAGATAAAAATATCGTGATAGTCTTGGGGATGATTCTGCAAGATGTACACAATATTTCAAGATTATTTTTTAACACAAAAAACTAAAGAAAACTGTGAATTAGAACTTAAAACTTGATTGAAAATAGTACACTGTACACTGTACAGGGGAATGTGAGGATGATGTACTGACAACAGATATTTTGAGTTTTCCACAGAAAAACCAGTTTCTTCAATATGTACTGGATGATGTACAAATGCAGTTCAGAGAAAAACTATTTTCTGAGAGAAGTCTAACCAATTATATCTACTCTTTCTGCAAGGTTGGATTACATTAATATTACAAATGTTTTTTTTCTTAAATTAAGTCCCTTAAGTTAATATGATTAAGATTAAGTCTCTAAAAGTTAATCTGATTAAAATTAAGTATCCAAAAGTAAATCCGATTAAGGTTAAGTTAATGTGCTTAGAATCATTCTCTCAAAGTATATCTGACTAGGGTTAAGTCCCTAAAATTTGATATGATCAATGTTAAGTCCCTAAAAGTCAATCTGATTAAGATTAAGTCACTAAAAGTTAATACGATTAAGTTTAAGTCCTTAAAAGTTAATCTGATTAAGAATAAATCTCTAAAAGTTAATCTAATTAAAGATAAGTCTCCAAAAGCTGATTAAGGTTAAGTTTCTAAAAGTCAATCTGATTAAAATTAATTAAACTTCATACGGTTAAGCATAAGTCTCTTAAAATAATATTATAAAGAAGTTAATCTGATTAAGGTTGAGTCCCTACGAGAGCTAGAATTTCAAGAATGCAGGTTCCTTGAGGCGCGTTTACTGCATCCTGAGGAAGAGAATATATTTTTTTACTTTCAAAAGAAATGAGTCTTTGACACAAACTCTGATTTTCTAATCACTGTATCTTTACAACCCAATGGCGTAGACCTTAGATAATTCAAACTTTGATTTCTATTAGTGCAAATAATTTAAGTTTGAAATATCAAATGTTGTCACCATCAGGTTGCAAGGATATAGGGATTAGCAAATTTGATCTTGTTGTGGCAAACACTCAATTCCGTACGTACATTTTGAGATTATCAGACCTATTTAAAAAATAACATTCTCGATGATATTGATCAGGTCCTCTGTCCGATAGAAAAAGAAAAACATTGGGTTCTCTTTGATGAAAACAGGTTAAGTATAGCTGCATATAGCTAGCTAGGTTCCACAAACAGGAATTGAGTCTTTGACACAAACTCTCAATTTATCATTCCTATATCTCTGCAACCCAATTTCGTATACCTTAGATATTTCAAACTATGAATTCTGTTGCATCAAATTATCTTAGTTTAAAATAAAAAAGTCTACAACTTCAGGTTTCATAGAAATAGGGATTAGAAAATTTGAGTTTGCGGGAAAGACTCAATTCCTTTGAGAAATTTTACAAAGGAATTTAGTTTTTGCCACAAATTCAAATTTTCTAATCCATATAACTTTGCAATTTGTGGGTATAGACCTTTGATGTTTCAAACTTTAATTATTTTACTCAACGGAATTTAGTTAGAAATATCTAAGGTATACGAGATTGGATTGCAAAGATAAAGAGATTAGAAAAACAGGGTTTGTGGCAAAGACTCAATTCCTTTCAAAAATTTTTATATTTTACAGTTGCTTTTCTTTAACTATTCCAATTTTTAACCCGGAAAGAAATGTTTCCAAAAATTTAAAAATTTAAAAGAATAAACTTTAGAATTTTATAAATTTGAACTTTGAAAATATTATATTTAGCTTGTTGTGTAGATATGAGCTTGCTAAAGCAAAGTTTGAATCCAAGGAAGTTAAAGGAATACATTTGTGGCTTGAACTTTCAGCTGGATTTAAGGTAATACGACTTTAAGTATTATAGTTAAGCATATTGCACACAACGCAATAAAGGGAAAATGCGCATTGCACATTCTTGCGCAATAATCGTTGTCTGCAAAATCTACATTATACAAGGTTATCCAAAAAGTATGAAACTTTTGAATGGAATTTATATTTTCTGTTTCTTTTTATTCATGATTACCTTCAACTATAAACTTCTTTGTTTCTTTGCTAAATCATTAAAGAAGCCATTCAAATACCACATTTAAACCAGAAGGCGTAATTTAAACTTGGGATATATAAAGATTTTAAGTCATCTTTACAGTCTTATCCTTTATGGGTTCTGTGTTTTCTTCACGAGTACATCAATAATACTTTTCTCTTATATTAAATCTATTCTCAGTTTTAAAATCGAATAAGTAGGAACATATTTGCAACTAGGCAATGCATGCTACAAAAACTTAAGTTTCCAATGTTAGTTTAAAATCTTTCATTTGTTCTATAAACACATTTTCTGAAGAGAGCTCCTTATATACTACTGAACTTTATCATTCTTTGTCTTAAATGTAAAATAAAAAGTATATCAATTTTGACGTCGCAAGGTCGTAACAACAATTCCGCATAAAATAAATGTCTTTCTTATTTTAAAATTGAAATGGTTCTACATGATACATACAGTTAAAACCTAATTATTAAATATATTGAAAGAATTTATGAAATGTCGTCTTGACAATTTTTCAGTGGGTTTAATATTATTTCTACGTGAATCTCAGGTTTTGCAACAATAAATAAATAACCATGAATATGCGGGAACAGTTTTAAAGAGGTCCATATAGTCATTTAATTTAAAAAAAAAACTAAATATCTGCAACATTTCATTGACAGAAAGTGAAGAATACGACATTTGATAAATTCTTAAAATGTATTCAATACTTAGAGTTTAACTGTATCAATTTTTAGGAATGGGGTTCCCCAACATTTAAATCAGCAATTTATAAATTAGGTAATTTTCGATTTTTTTTATTTAAATCGTTTTTATTTATCTCTTTCAATGTTATCAAACTTTTGTTTATGATTTTTTTTCACTTTTCAGCAAAAAAATTGCTGTAAAATTTTTTGGGATTTAAAAAAATCATTTAGTTTTCATGCTTGCGTAAATTACGAATGAGTTAAAAGAACAAAACATTGTTTTTTTTCTTCATATTTTCTTTTTTTGAAGGAAATCAACACTGTCCTGCTGTATTCTCCAGTGCTACCAGAACATTATAGCAAACTATTAATTAAATAAAACACAGAAATTGTTCCTAATTTGTGTTTCACATTTATTAGTATTTTACCTTAAGAAACATACATTTTACAACAACTTGTCTTTTAACAACAACAGCAAAATAGAATTTAATTTGTTTACTAGGTTTTTATAATTTCAATACACCTTTATACTTCTCTCTACGTCACTAAATCTCTAACTAAAACTTGACATTCAAAACAGTTTGAAAACATGTTTGTTTTCAGTTTCAAAGCTTTCAACATGTTTTCTTTAATCTTGACCATTCTCTACAACTTCATCCTTCTCACATTCCTCAACCATCTCCATCTCCTTCTAAACAATCTCTTTTATCTTTCAGTTTAGCTTTACGAATACACAATTTTATATTCAACATTTATATTATCCCTTTTCACTAACATTAGAAAAGTTGTAACAATCTAAGTAATTTGAATATCTTCAATTTTTTTTTTTAATTTTTCTTAATTCAAATAAATACATCTGAAATCTTGTCTGGGACCAAATCTAATTAATAGCTAGAGGTAGTTTATTTACATAAATTAGGTTGAACTACTACTTGTTAACTTAACATTGCACAAACGAATCTACGTAGTTCAACTACTTCTCGATACTCTTTAAATTAGGTCTTTATTCTATAAAATGAAGGTTTATTTACCTGGTTGTTTATAAGATCTGCCAAAACCTTGTTATTTATCTCTTCAGCCTTCTCTTTATCCTCAACCTTGGATTCTATAGTTACTGTTGTGATCTTAGTCTCAAAAGTATCATTGGCGTTTCCGTCAGATATAGTGGTGAACTCGGTGATTGTAGTTTCAATAGTTTCTGTTCCGTCAGGGTTAATCTTGGTAATAGTAGAGGACTTGGCTGTTAGATCTTGGAGATCTATTGTCGGGGGTAGAGAGCTAATATCTACTCTACTAGTTTCAGTTACAATCTTAATTTCAACCTCATTACATTCATCGTCAGCAGGTTCCTTAATAGTTTCAACATGATCTTCATCTTCAATCAGTCCAATTTCTTCAACCTGCTCCGAAGTGTCATTTTTGATCTCCTCAGGTTCGGCCATATCTTGATCTTGGATTAGTTCGATTTCCTCAACTTCTTCCGTAGTGATATCCGTGTTTTCAATAGGATTTACAGAATCTTGATCTTCGATTAGTCCGATTTCCTCAACTTCTTCCGTAGTGATATCGGTGTTTTCAATAGGATTTACAGAATCTTGATCTTCGATTAGTCCAATTTCTTCAACATGCTCAGGTTTGGGTTCAGATTCATTGCGGGGTGGCTCAGTTTCAGGTTCCGTTAAGGCCTCTACTGAAGTAGGTTCAGTGGGAATTGAAACGGGTTCAGGGGTTGGTTCTTTAAAAGTTTCGGGTTCAGGATTTGGGGTTATTTCAGGCTCGGGTTCGGTTACCGGGGTGGTTTCAGGCTCAGGTTCGGGGATGGGTTCTTTTTCAGACAGAGGCGCTGGTTCCGCTGAAGAAACTCCATTGATAGCTTGAGGTTCAGGCTTGGGTTCATACTTTGCAGGTTCGGCTTTTAAAACCTGTAAAAATTAATTAAGTAGTTACAAAATCTGGAAACACTTTCCGGAAAATTTATTAATATTATATTGGGTTCTGTTGGGCATATGGGGCGCCGAAGGCTACTTGCTTCTTTTTTCCTTTATTTTTCTGTCCTGAAAAGATTACCTTTCCGGTTTTAGTACTATTAAATAAAATCTCCTCTGAAGTTTTAACTATTGTTTTACAAATCTTGGAGTAAGCATTGATCTCCATATTATATAGACCTCTTTGATATCCCGAGGTTATCATACCCTGCAAGGATCATTTAAATTAAGGAATCAAGCATTTATCTTTAAATTTAATAGTGCCCATATTGAATTTCGAAATCAAGCGTTTAAGATTAATGATACTCCAGACCTCTGATCACTTGGAGGATTATTTCATACCTGTTCAGTGATATTTTCTTCTCCAGGTTCTCCTAAACAAATCATTTAATCACCGCGTTTTTAAAATATATAAGAAGCTAATTAAATCTACAAAAATCAAAGCGTATTCCCCCTTCATTTGATTTTTGGAAAACTATGCTAAATGAGACAACGTTAGGTTTCACAATAAATTGTTTTTTTTTAAATTGGTGCTTAAAATTAAATTCCTTCTCTTTTTAATAAAAAAAATTAGTTTCCTACCCTTTTCCAGGCAGTCCCTCTTTTTAGGTTCAGGATCACAAACTTGACTGAAAAAAATCCAATAAAACCATTAAACAAAGGAATGAAAATTGTCTTTTAATTATAAACGTTTCCATGGATTTGAACTTTGTAACCGATAAAAAAAGGTCTAGCTAAAGGAATTGAGTCTTTGCCACAAAATTAAATTTTCTTTGCAACCTGATGGTGTACACATTTGATATTTCAAAATAAGACTATTTGATCTGACAGAATTCATAAATTGTAATATCAACTCAAAGGTTGCATCTGGTTGCAGAGATATAGGGGTTAGAACATCCGACTTTGTGCCAAAAATTCGGTTCCTTTCTAACTACTTTCATTTCGCTATAAACTGGCTATCAGTACAGATTTATAAAAAAAATTAAAATCAAATAAAATGTTGTTCAAACCTTGTCATCTTGTCATCCTCATTCTTTTTTAACAAACTCTCGTTCGTTAAACCTATAAAAAGGCAAGAAGACATTTTGGATAAAATCGAGTTTTGTAAATTATTTAAAAAAGCCTAACCAATTGCCAGTGTTTCGTTTCTTCTCCTTTTCTCTGTTAGAGTCAAGGTCTTTCTTTTCTTTTCCTCCTCACTTTGGAATTTAATACATCAATTTACACTTGTAGTTTTAGTTAGAAAAATAATAATTAGAGGAAAAACAACAAAACCATGACTTCAATTAACATTTGAAGTCAGCTTGTTTTAATTCGAATTAAATGTAAAAAAATATTATTTAGAAATAGAGAGATGCATATATTTCCCTGGTTGCAGTTTCTGCTTCTAAGCTTCTGGAAGAAAGGATTAGAGCTGCAATATCTGGATCCCTTTCCCTTTATATAATAAAAATATAGGATTAGAGCTGCAATATCTGAATCCATTTCCCTTTTCATTAATAACAATATAGGATAAGAGCTGGAATATCTGGATTCCTTTCCTTTTTATTAATCCTTTCCTTTTCATTAATAAAAATATAGGATTAGAGCCGCAATATCTGGATCCCTTTTTATAATAAATTTTTAGAATTAGAACTGCAAAATCTGGATCCCTTTCCCTTTCTTTAATTACAATATAGGATAAGAGCTGCAATATCTTGATCCCTTTCCCTTTTTAAATAAAGGAATTGAGTCTTTGCCACAAACTCTGATTCTCTTATCCCTATATCTTTACAACAAAATGTCATAGACCTGAGATATTTCAAACTATATGAATTATGTTATTTCAAATAATATAAGTTTAAAAAATCAAAGGTTTACACCATCAGGTTGCAAAGATACAGAGATTAAAAAATTTGAGATTGTTGCAAAAACTCAGTTCCTTTTTAGAATTAGAGCTGCAATATCTGGATCACATTCCTTTTATATAATAAAAATATAGGATAAGAGCTGCAATATCTAGATCCCTCTCCCTTCTTTTTATCATGTAAAATTGATTTCAAATATTTGTAATTCCTTCCACCCAAAAAGGTCGTTCTTTGGTGAAAAAAAAACAGCGGCAGCGGTTGAGGCATAGCTTAGATTCTTTACAGCTTAAAATGAGATTTAAAAATTATTTTTTAAAATTAACATTATGAGTTCGATTAATTGTAGCACGAATATTTTATAATACTATTTTGGTTTAAACCATTGGCACTTTGTAAACCTTTTTTGCCTTTAACCGCTGTAAATGGATAGTTTTATTTAAATTTTTACTCTCAACTGTAAAAATTACCATTTTATAATATAACTTTCTTATTTGCAGCACACATATTCATAGCAAACAAATATATGTAAAAAAAACATGTGAAACCCATGGCGGTTAAGGGCAAAAAAATTCACATACAGAATATGATTGTAGAGGTTGAATCAACTCTTAATTAAGGAATGAAAAATGTCCCATTTTTAATTCTGCAAGCTACGTCGAAGAGTCTTTGCAAGATCCCAACCGCTCGTTCAACTGCCACTGCTGATGTTTATTTTCCAAAGTATATATCATTGGTAGAATTCATAGCTTTCACAAATCAAAGGTCTTCAAGAATAGGTTGCAAAGATGAAAGGATTAGAAAATAAAAGTATGAGAAGAGATAATAATTCCTCTGAAATTCTAGTAAAAGATAATGTGTTTTAAATTTAATACACGCAATTATGTTAATTCCTGACCTTCTTGGCTTAGATTCTTCTTTTGCAGAATCCTCGGTGCAAGCAGTGGAACCTATCTGTAATGTCATCAGTTTTATTATTATTAGCAGTATAACCAGCAGTTGTATGATTATCATCAGCATTATTATTAGAATTATCACTAGCAGTGGTATCATCATCAGTATTATTATTATTAGCATTATCACCAGCAGTTGTATGATCATCATCATTAGCATTATTAGCATTATCATTCGCAGTTGTATTATCATCATCATTATTATATTAGAATTATCACTAGCAGTGGTATCATCATCAGTATTATTAGCATTATCATCATCATCTGTATCATTAGCATTATCACTAGCAGTTGTATTATTATCATCATTAGTATTATTAGTATTATCACAAGCAGTGGTATCATCATCAGTATTATTAGCATTATCACTAGCAGTTGTATTATCATCATCATCTGTATCATTAGCAGTATCACTAGCAGTTGTACTATCATCATAATCAGTATATTATTAGCATTATTACAATAACTTGAGTTATGATTTTTAATAATCCAAGGAAAATTAAAGACAGCAAATGTGCAGTGTAAAGAACATAAGCATAATTTCAAAATTTCAAAAATATATCTCTTACCTTCGTCATGATATTTTGTCCATAGCTAGAACTATAAACGCCCTTCAATTAATCTCAACAGTAAAATCCGTAATTACAGTGATAACCAGAAAACTCTGGAATACGAAGACGACTTTCAAACTTAATTTATGACTTTAGATAATCCATGAGCACGGGAAACAGAATTTATTCAGTGTAAACAGACCCATTTCACTTGATTTGTGATTTAATAAGTGTCTAGTAAAACTATTTGCTTTATAACAACATCAAATGCACATACGAATGGCTATAAAGTCGTCTTCCTATTTTTGTTTTGTCCTCATTAAACCAAAGTTTCATTTTTTAATAAGAATTAGAACGTGAATTTACCGAATTGTAAGCTATGATTAAAACAAATCTTTATTTACAGGAACTAAGTTAATGTCAAAAATTTTCTAAACCCTTTATCTTTGCACCCCTATGTCGTAAACTTCTGTTATTTCAAATTATGAATTCTGTTAGATTCAACAGTCTAAGTTAATATCAAAGTTTTATACCATCATAACAAAAACTCAGTTTATTTTTTTTGTACATTTTTTTAATTTGTTGATTCCTGATTTAACAGTGATGAAAAAGTCAAATATAGAGTTTATTACTTTTGACTTGGTGTAGACATGGTCTAAACAAAGAAATACCTCCAAAACACTATAAGTGAGTTTTTAATGTTAACATTACCCCATCTTGTAAATACCAGAATGGCAAATAATCTGTGTTATAAAGTAACTGTCCTAAATCTTTCCAGGAGTTTTAGTTCCATGTTTACCGTAGTGTAAGTCGATTCTTATTTTGACATTTGTCTAGGAGCCGGTTAACCTGCTAACATGCAGCTTTCCCCTTGCTTTCATAACACTTTTTATAGAGCTCATATTTCTCATATCACTCTAGGAATTATAGGGAGAGGGAAGGAAGAGGAAGGGACAGGGACAGGGTAGAAGGAGGGGGCGGGGGGAGTTTAGAGGGAAAGTATGAATTTATGGGGTAGGTATGAGAGTAGTATTCGGTCTTTGCGTTTAAACTTTAAAGTTAGTTTTCTTTAAAAATATTTATAAACATTAAGAACAAATGCCCAGTTAATCAGATATACTTTTTAACCTTATATTGGGGATGGAGTCATAACGAAAGTTTTTTGAGAAGGTTTGACACAGAAATCAATGAAACCTGTGTCTGAATTTAATGAATTTAAGCCGCGTCTAAAATCCCCCAAAAATTGGTTTCAATTGATCGCTGGCTTGAATGTTGAAAAATTTAATTCAAAAGAATTGAGTCTTTGCCACAAACTCTGAATTTAGAATCCCTATATCTTTAGAACCCAATGTGGCAAATCTTTGATATTTCAAACTTACATTATTTGATCTAACAGAATTCATAGTTTGAAATATCTAAGGTCTACGACATTAGAATCCAAAGATATAGGGTTTAGAAAAGCAAAGTTTGTGGCAAAGACTCAATTCCTTTAAGTGGAACCAACAAAATTTGAGCCGCGGCTTAAATTTAAACCGCGGCTCAAATTCTTTAAATTCGGTCTCTGAAAGATTAACAAAATTTGAAAAAGTGTTTATTGTTTGATTTAACTTTGATGTACAAGACCGTAAACACTAAACATATTGTTGTTCTTAGCTTTTCCAAGAACAGGAAAACATATTGTTTAGAAAGTTTTTGTTATTTCAAACATTCTCTGCAGAAAGCATAAAAAGTAATTATAAGAGAGGTTATATCAACAAACATGTTCAACCCTGTTCTGCACAATTTCTCCGTTTCTTGAGTTTGGGATTCTTTTGTAGGAAAGAAATGGTCCTTTTGACTGATTATTGAACGTTGTTAGTATTCGATTTCAATCTTGAGGTTCTTACGACTTTGTCTACTATTGGTCACTGGATGTCTTTTAATTGTACCAAAAAGTATTTCTAGTGGGTGCGATGAGAGTCTTCGATGAAATATGTTGCTTCAAAATGCCTTTTTTTATTTTCAAAAGTAAAACTAATAATCGAAAATAAGCTCGTTCTTTTTTACAAAGATTAAAAAAAATATCATTTTATTTCATTTCTCTTCAAAAAAACTCGCAATAAAATCATTGAAACTATTGAAGTTAACCAGAGAAAGCCTGTAGAAAGTTACAAAATTGATAGATGGAATTAATGTTAATATTAATTCCTTGCAGAGTTCTCTAAGCCTTGCTTCTCGCATTGATCTTTCAATCTCCCTCGCTCTGCTCGTCTCATGATCCTCAGAGTCATATATAAACCTATAGAATATATAAACCTAGAGAATATATAAACTTAGAGAATATATAAACCTAGAGAATATATAAACCTAGAGAATATATAAACCTAGAGAATATATAAACCTAGATAATATATAAACCTAGAGAATATATAATCCTAGAGAATATATAAATCCAGAGAATATATAAACCTAAAGAATATATAAACCTAGAGAAGATATAAACCTAGAGAATATATAAACCTAGAGAATATATTAACTTAGAGAAGATATAAACCTAGAGAATATATAAACCTAGAGAATATATAAACCTAGATGATATATAAACCTATAGAATATATAAACCTAGAGAATATATAAACCTAGAGAATATATTAACCTAGAGAATATAAAAACCTAGAGAATATGAAAACCTAAAAATTATATAATCCTAGAGAATATAAAAACCTAGAGAATGTATAAACCTAAACGATCGTTAACAATCGTCAAAAAAATAAAAACGACCTACCCTCGCTAACGAAACGACGAACTGAAACTAAAAAACGACATCTTTGACTTTTTCAAAATCGATCATTTTTAAAAACAACTGTTTGTTTTTCGTTTTCTCTTTGTCGTTTTAAAACGATATGATCGTTTACCTAGCTTTTCTATATCTGTATCCGTAGTACCCACTCCAATCAGGGTTCAAAGAGTACTTAACTAAAAATAAAATTATTGTTTTTTTTTATGGAATATAATAAATCAAACTTTAAACCGTGGATTCGAACATTCCTTTTTAAAGCAGGAATCATTGGCTTTATATCTGTAAAATTAATAGAATTAAACTTTATGTATGTGTATAAAGTTATCTATGATATCTCAACCGTCATAAAATAAAATAACAAAAAGTTATAAAATCATGAATTTAGAGTAATGACCTGAATCGTATAGGCGAGGATAAGTTATAAAATCATGAATTTTGAGTAATTACCTGAATCGTATAGGCGAGGATAATTTATAAAATCATGAATTTAGAATAATTACCTGAATCGTATAGGCGAGGATAAATTATATAATCATGAATTTAGAGTAATTACCTGAATCATTTAGGTGAGGATAAGTTATATAATCATGAATTTAGAATAAATAAGTGAATCGTATAGGCGAGGATATGATATAAAATCATGAATTTAGAATAATTACCTGAATCATATAGGCAAGGATAAGTTATATAATCATAAATTTAGAATAATTACCTGAATCTTATAGGCGAGGATAAGCTATAAAATCATGAATTTAGAATAATTACCTAAATCATATAGGCGAAGATAAGTTATAAAATCATGAATTTAGAGTAATTACCTGAATCGTATAGGCGAGGATAAGTTATAAAATCATAAATTTAGAATAATTGTAGTTATAAAATCATGAATTTAGAATAATTACCTGAATCATATAGGCGAGGATAAGTTATAAAATCATGAATTTTGAGTAATTACCTGAATCGTATAGGCGAGGATAAGGGGCAAAAGGAACGAAATCACTTCTATACTTCTTGAAAGGAAACTAAAGAAAAATAATTTAATATCAACAATCTTACGTCCTCAAATCATAGTTTTGGCATCAAATATCTAAAATGTTGCTCTAGTTCAGTAACACAGACTTGGAACAGATTAAAATTTTACTTAATAATTGAATAAAGTCACATCAACAGTTTTGTTTGATTAAATAAATAGAGTGGCATGTCCAATTTACAAGGATACCAGTTATCTTAATTACAAGTGTTTAATTCTGACAATTTCCTTTAACGTCTCTGCAACATAAATTAATGAGTCAGTTTTACAGAAATTATTGAAAAATATCACTTTTGAGCTAAATAATGGTATCTATTGGAGAGACCATTTTTTAAATGAAGGGTAACTTAAAATTACGTCACAGTCCCTTTAAAATAGTTTTTTGTACAATATAATAAAATAAACTTCACCTCTGTATTATCACGAGTATTTACTCCTACTCCGAAAGCATATCTAAAATATTTAAAATAAGAAAGAGTTTTCAATTCTTTTGTTATTCTTAAACCGTACCATAATCAGATGTGGTATGCTGTCTTTTGTGAATGAGAAGATATTATTTGATTTGATTTATTATTTATGAGTTTTTGTATAACTTTGACACAGTTTTATGTCAATTACTCGAGACAGTGATCAACTCCCAAAATGTTTAGGCTTCAGAATATAACCCACTTTCAATTTACCTCAACATTCCCTTTAAAGTTTATGCATATTAAAATTCTAAGTTAAATGCAAATAAGACAATTTATATGTTTTAAACAAACTCCGAATAAGTAAATAAGTAAAAAATTAACTCCCTATGTGTTTTTACCGATCTGGAAGTACAGTGTTCAAGAAGTAAGGTTTCTCTTTTCTTGATTCTGTAATAAAAAAATAATCGTATAGTAGACATTTAAAATCATATTTTCGAATTTATGCCTTTCATAATAATCTACCTGGAATCAGAACACTTTGTCTTCCTGAGTATCTTCCAGTATACAAGCTAAACACAATTATAAGTTCATTAAACTCCCCAATGTTGGTAAAAAATAAAACAAAAAAGGAATTATAAATAACTTAAAATGTTACGAGAATAATAAATGTCACCAAACTAAATGATATAGAGCTAAAGTGTGGTGACAAAGGATCAAGCTCAAATAGTGAACTAAAGTATTATTTCAAAGGATTAAGTGAAAGTATTGCGCTAAAATACTGTATAAAAGAATCAAGCTTAAGTGTTGTATCAAAGGATCAAGTTAAATCTGAGCTAAAATATTGTATTAAATGCTGAAGCTAGTGCGCTAAAGTACTGTAGATAAGAATCAAGCTAAAGTATTGTATAAAAAAATCAAGCTAAAATGTTAGCTAAAGTACTGTATCAAAGTATCAAGCTAAAGTAGGGGGATAAAGTATTGCTATTAAGGATCAAGCTAAAGTGTTGTATCAAAAGATCAGGCTAAAATGTGAGCTAAAGTATTGTATTTAAGGATCAAACTAAAGTGTTGTATCAAGGATCAAGCTAAAATGTGAGCTAAAGTATGGTATCAAAGATCATGCTAAAATGTGAGCTAAATTATTGTATCAAAGATCAAGCTAAAATGTGAGCTAAAGTATTGTATCAAAGATCAAGCTAAAATGTGAGCTAAAGTATTGTATCAAAGATCAAGCTAAAATGTGAGCTAAATTATTGTATTAAAGAATCAAGCTAAAATGTGTGCTAAAGTATTGTATCAAAGATCAAGCTAAAATGTGAGCTAAAGTAGTGTATCAAAGATCAAGCTAAAATGTGAGCTAAAGTATTGTATTAAAGAATCAAGCTAAAATGTGAGCTAAAGTATTGTATCAAAGATCAAGCTAAAATGTGTGCTAAAGTATTGTATTAAAGAATCAAGCTATAAAAATATAGAGCAAGTATTGTATCAAAGGATCAAGCTAAAGTATAGAGCTAAAGTATTGTATCAAAGGATCAAGCTAAAGTGTTGAGCTAAAGTATTGAATCAAAGGATTAATTCAAAGTAAAGAGCTAAAGTATTGTTTCAAAGGATTAAGTTAAAGTAGTGAGTTAATGTATTGAGGTAAAGGATCAAGCTGAAGTATTGTATCTAAGGATAAAAATAAAGTTTTAAGCTCAAGAATTGGATCAAAAGATCAAGATAAACTTAAGTATTGTGTAAAAGGATTGAGCTACATGATATGTAAATGTATTAAACGGAAGACCCACCTTGGATCAGATTCAGAATACAGATATGGTCTCGGGGTTCTCTCCTGTACATTCAAATATTTATTTAAATCAGAAAAATATCATTTATCAACCATTTTCTTGATTTTTTAAATCATTTTTAACAGTTCAAATAATTATAAAAATTCAGACACCTTGGACTAAATATAAAAGCTGTGAAAAAACTAAAAATTTTCATCAACTCGTTTTTATGGTTAACTAGGCCGATCTACTTCTTAGTTTTTGAAATAGCTGAACTCTAAGATAAGATTAACAAATAAATTAAATTCCTTGTATCCCGATGAGAGATAATCATGAGAAAGATATCCACTCTTATCCTGATATCCACTCTTATCCTGATATCCACTTCTATCCTGATATCCACTTCTATCCTGATATCCACTTATATCCTGATATCCACTCCTATCCTGATATCCCGATCTATCCTGATAAGTTCTGCCGAGTCCTCTGCCAGAATCCTCTCGTGCTGGGATCACGGCAGGAGTAAAACTGAATTGTAAACAAATTACACATTGGACATTTAGAAATTTTACAGAATGAATGAAATGTTTTCGTAAGCTAAAGATATCATTTAATGACAATTTAGGAGATCAAAAGTTCGGAGAAGATCTAGGTTTTAACTGTCTACCTGGAGTATGCAGGGTAAGGAGAAGATCTAGGTTTAAACTGTCTACCTTGAGTATCCAGGGTTAGGAGAAGATATAGGTTTAAGCTGTCTACCTGGAGTATCCAGGGTTTAGAGAATATCTAGGTTTAAACTGTATACCTGGAGTATCCAGGGTTAGGAGAAGATCTAGGTTTAAACTGTCTACCTGGAGTATCCAGGGTTAGGAGAAGATCTAGGTTTAAACTGTCTACCTGAAGTATCCAGGGTTAGGAGAGGATCTAGGTTTAAACTGTCTACCTGGAGTATCCAGGGTTAGGAGAGGATCTAGGTTTAAACTGTCTACCTTGAGTATCCAGGGTTAGGAGAGGATCTAGGTTTAAACTGTCTACCTGGAGTATCCAGGGTTAGGAGAGGATCTGGGTTTAAACTGTCTACCTGGAGTATCCAGGGTTAGGAGAGGATCTGGGTTTAAACTTTCTACCTGGAGTATCCTGGGTTAGGAGAGGATCTAGGTGCGTACTGTCCACCTGCCCAGCTCCAGGTTGGAGCATGAAGCCTGTAATCCCTGAATAATGAATAATGTTCAAGAGAAAGTTTTATACAAAGTTAACTGTTTGTAAGTATGCAAAAGGCTGGTAAAATTTGTTCGGCTCAGGTCTGTCAATAAAGTGGATGTTTCCTTTTTCCTTTATTTTCCACTCTACAATCCACCCAACATACAGCACCTTTCCTTAACATTCATCTCTTTTTTCCTACTTCTTTGTCCTTTATTTCTAAATTACTTTGTGTTTGGTATTAGGTATTACCATTAGTCAGTTGTTTATTTCTAAAAACTAAATGTATGTTTAAAGCTCAACTCAGCGAATTAAAACAACCATGGAAATGGCTAGGCTAAAGTCCTGGCTGATTTAATTATCAAATCATAAATAAAAAGTTTAAATTATATATTTGTATTGTGATTTAAGTCGAAATAAAAATACATCTATAATACTAACACGGAAATCATGTAAACCTTAACTAAACCAAAATATTGGGTTACACCATATATATTTTTCCAGTTCACCCTGTCGAGGTATATTATTTAGTATTCACCCAGTTGATTTAAAGAAAGTATTTATTTACCTATTGATGACGTAATCAGTGTTTGGTCGAGTTCTGTATGTCACATCATCGGGTTGAAATCCCTAAATATATATGTGAGTAGCATTATTTTCCTAAAATATTTTTTGATCCTCTCAAATGTTTAATTCTTGTCATATTTCTTATGTCCATAATATCAAATATAATATTTTTGAAATGATGAGTCATGTATACTCTAAAAGGTTTCACATTTTTAGACAGCCTCGACTTTAAAGTGTCGCAACGCCTTGGCCTTTGGTTTTACCTTACCAACCCGTATTTGCCTTTTTGTAGCCCTAGGCAAATACATTTTGAAATTACAACGGTCTTGTTTCCAGCCCAAGTTTAAAGGAGTAATTGGCAAAATACTGCTTGATTTTTGCGTGAGAACATGCACATCTTTGTTCGCAGGGACTAAAATATATTAAAAGAGCATAGCCGAAGAAAAAGTTTAAAATACAGTGATAACCAGAAAACTGTGGAATAGGAAGACGACATACTAAAGTACTAAAGTACATTTCATGTTGTTACGAAGCAAATAGCTTTGCTGGTAAGTTGTTGAATCTTGTATTAAGTGAAATGAGTCTATTTACACTGCGAAATGGCTGCGCCTCATGTTCATTGGACTATTTAAAGTCATTCTTGAGTCTAAAAGTGGACTTTCTATTCCAGAGTTTTCTGGTTCTCTCTGTAGCGAAAACGAAAAATTTACATTTAATGGATTAGAAAGGGTTCTAAAGTTTACACTATAAATCAGAAGCTTGAGTTTACCGTGTATTGACGAACAACACAATTGAGTAAAGAATTATCTTGGATGGGATCAGTTTTTAGCTGTTCACGTGTCGTGATTATTTCAATTATTTGTATTGAATCTTAATGCAACTTGTTATATCATTTTTTAACACATTTTTCATGTACAAATTTGTGTTTAGGATATATCGTTTGTGGCTTATTGTCACTTTTCGTTTTGCAAAGTAAAGATTACAACCTATTACATAATTCCCAGATATAAAAAAAAGATTACAGAGTAAGCTGAAGCTGATCTAACCACTGAAGGAATATCATCATCAAGAATCCTCATCATCTGAGGACTGTAAATATCATAGTAGTTCATTTTATATCTGAAAATTTATCATGTATCCATCAATACATATAAACTTAGAAACAATTCTCTTTGTCAATAAACAGATTCTTTTTTCAATTGTAAACTTGAAATTTTAAAAATACCTGTTTAAATCAACATTTAAATCGAAATAAAGTCTTTATTGTATCGTATACCTTGAGACATATCATAGAATATAGTTCATTTTATACCTGGAGAGTGGAGATTTATCATAATAGTATAATGTATACTGGGAGATATATTATATTAGTTCATTTTATACCTAGAGATATATTATAATAGTTCATTTTTTACCTGGAGATATATTATAGTAGTTCATTGTAAACCTGGAAATATATTATAGTTATTCATTTTATGTCTAGAGATATATTATAGTAGTTCATTTTATGCCTAAAGATATATTATAGTAGTTCATTTTATACCTGAAGATGTATTATAGTAGTTTATTTTTTACCTGGAGTTATATTATAGTAGTTCATTTTATACCTGGAGATGTATTATAGTAGTTTATTTTATACCTGGAGATATATTATAGTAGTTCATTTTATACCTGGAGATATATTATAGTGCAGTCGGAACCAGAAATTTTTAGAAATGTTTGATGTGCTATTTGCACCGATTTTGGTCTCATTTAATGCGCTTGTCCCGATCAGACCAGACGTTTACAAACCAATGAATGAATTAATCAATTAAAAAAATTATGAATGTGTTTCATTAGCTGAATATAATCAAATACTGCTCTAGTTCTGCCTATACACAGAGATTAACCTTTACAGTAGGGATCCTAGAACTTTCTACAGTGTCCCCTGATCCTAAACAGGGATACAGGGAATGCAGGATACTGGGACTGCAGGGATACAGGGATTACAGGATACTGGAACTGCAGGGATACAGGGAATACAGGATACTGGGACTGCAGGGATACAGGGAATGCATGAATACAGGGAATACATTAAATCAGGAAATGCAGAGATACTGGGAATGAAGGAATACAGGGAATGTAGAGATACTTGGAATGAAGGAATACTGGGAATGCAGGGATACAGGGAATGCAGGGATACAGGAAATGAAGGGATACTGGGAATGCAGGGACACAGGGAATGCATAGATACAGGGAATACAGGGATACAGTAAATGCAGAGATACTGGGAATGCAGGGATACAGGGTATGCAGGAACACTGGGAATGCAGAAATGCTGGTAATGCTGGGATACATGGAATGCATGGATACAGAGAATACAGGGATACTGGGAATACAGGGATTCTCTAGGAGTGCAAAGATACATGGAATGCAGAGATACACGTTATACAGGGATACAGGAAGTGCAGAGATACTGGAAATGTATGGATCCTGGGAATGCAAGGAATGCAGAATTACAGGGAATGCAGAGAGTGCAGGGATGCTGGGAATGCAGAGACAACGTGAATGCAGAGATACCGGGAATTCAGGGATAAAGGGAATACTGTGACTGATACAGGGAATACGCCTGGGCGGGGATACAGGGAAGTGAGCAGCTTCAAAACTATGAGTTTATGACGTCACTGTTCACTATATAACCCTAGTGTCGGGTGCAAAAAATAAGTTTAGCATAAACAACACTATCCACGATATTCCGGTCAATAAACTGCAGTGGGACCCACAAAAGATGAGACTTCAGAGACAAATGTACGAAATTAACACTATCATTTTTTCTTTTATTTTCGGAAGCCCAGAGAATAATTCTAACAGTAGCATGATTATAGTTTACAACCTTGATTTGAATTGTAGGACTTACAATGGAACATAAACTTGAATGTCGTCTTCGTTGATCCAGGATTTTTAATTATAGAAAACTCTATTACACACCGGATAAAGGGTTGGGGACATCCGCCCGACCTACCAAAATAGTTTCGTTCAAAATATCTCTCAACAATTTTAATTATTTTTAATTAAAGGATCAAATATGCTAAAGTTGTAAGCAAGGCAATTTTGTTGAAAAAAGTCTTATAGCTGTTTAACTATTTGAACACATTCATATTTTAATCGGAAAACTAGAGTGGGACAGAAGTTCAGAACTTGAAAATTGTATCTCTCTTTAGTTAGCGTAGGGACTGAACCCCTCCCCCACCCCCACTGTATACACCATGGTGGGTTTGAGGAGGGGGAAGAAGGTTTAAAATATTTCTTTATACTCTCCCCCTCCTCTAATTAAAATATTATTAAGTATTAATAAACATAAAGTAGAATTAAGAATAATACAACGATGTGATCAGTTTAAAAAGAAAATTTTGAAAGTTTTGAACATCCCTAGTCAAGCCGTAGAAGTGTAGGCTTGTAGGTTTGGAGAGCTTAACGCAGTTCAGACCGGAAGCTGAAGCTGAGCACCTGTAATCAGTCTACACACGCAGCAGTTAAACAAACGCTGAGACACAACAAGTCGCTTCAACAAGTCTGCTTTCGCGATATTATCGTGAAATTATTAGTTAAAACTTGAAGTGATAGTATGAATTTAACAATATCTTTTGAAATGAAAACTTTTTACCGATTATTTAAGTTTTACAAAATTACTAATATGTTGAAATGAGTAATCATGGTATGGATAATGATGGTTTGTATTGTATCTCAGAACAAGACATTCGAGGGAAAGATCCAGAGTTGGGAACTTTTGTATTGGATACTGATAATCCCAATCGCACGATCTCGATATTTATTGTGGGAACTTTTAAATTAAGGATTAAAAATATTTTGTTTTACATCTTCATTTTAGTTATTCCTCCAGTCATCAAAGCTCTCTTCAACTCCTGTCTGGGCAAAATTACCATGCGGGATATCGAATAAAGATTAAATTAATCTGCAGATTAAAACAAAATATCGAGATTAAGTATTGAGCTCGATGTTCACAATACTCGAGTTTTCAGCTCAGAGTAAGTGGAGTGGGTACAACACGTCGATTATAAAAATGTCGAATAACAAAACGTCGATGATAAAAACGTCGATTGCTACAAACCCTCGAAATATTGGTAGAGGTGTGGGAAGGCCCACTAACAGGATGTACATTTTCTTATATTCAATAATTTCATCCTCTACATATCCGGAAAATTAGATACAAAGCTATTCTTAATTATACATCAATTGAAAATTATACGTTTGCAACATAGATTAATAAGCACTTTAGTATGGAAATAATGCTTTCCAGGCATAGATATTAGATAATTCAACCTATCCAACAAAAAGTTTATTCGTTATCATTTAGATTTTTAATTGTGTAATACCAATTTACTAATTATGTCATGGGTGTTGATTATATACATTTGTAAGAAATCTGTTAGGTAGTTGGTTAACTGTGTGTTTGTTCGTTTGGTTAGTTGGTTGGTTGATTGATAATTTGGATAATCGGTTGGCTGGTTTCTGTAGTTAAGTACTTGGTTACTTGGCTGATTGGTTGGTTTGCTGATTGGCTGATTGGTTGGTTAAATGGTAGACTGGTTGGTTGGTTGGCTGGTCGACTAGGTGGTTGGTTGACAAGTCGAATGGTTGGTAGTTTTTTTATTGGTAAGCTTGTTTCATCGTTGGTTTTCTGGTTGGCTGGCTGGGTCTATTACAGTTTTAAAAACTATAAAAAGTTCAAGAGATTATATAACCTTAATTCGTATATGAATTCCCTAATAATTTTTAGTAAAATTTTTAAAAGTATTTTTACACTGGAATTTAAACTGTTGAAAAAATGTAAATTAAGCCAATTCAATAACAAATTTTATTTTTTTTTTAATGAAAAATTATTTTTTAAAAAATCAATTCATTACTTTACAATCTTTAAATGATTTTTAATTTATAAATACACGAAAATGAAATTTAATAATTACGTTTTAGTTGTCCACTAACTGAAAAGGATTAGATTTAAAGATTATAAATTATATTTATTAATTATTATTTAATAAGTTTTTCACTTTTGTCTGTTTAGATTGATTTTATAAGTTTTTGTCTGAACTTGTTCAGGAAGAATGGTTTTTATTGTTTTTACACCAAAGAACCGAGTTAAGAAATATTTGACATTTTCAGATTCAAAAACTGAATAACTGAATAAAGACAACAAGACAACCAGAGGGAGGGGGGGGGGGGGTCTTTAGAAGTAAATAGAAGAATCCCACTTTTTTGAAGAGGGGGTGTTTTGTATACATGTAAGAATGATACATAAAAGAAAGACGATTTTTTTATGTTGTCACCCAGATTTGATAGTTCAGTCCAAGGTTGTAATGCAAGGAAAGTTAATTACAGTTGCGTATACTCTGAGTATATATTGAAACCAGTTCTCTCTGGGCAAAATTTGTAAACAAGAATAGATCCATCAGTGTTCGTTTAGTATGCGAGGAGGTTAAAAGCATTAAATTTTGATAATTTTGATAATTCACTTAATAGTTTCCTATGACCAGAATATTGCATTGCTTTTTATGTGAAAGATGAATCCCATGTCAGGGTTCAACATCCGTCTTGTGTTTACATTACCGCCCAGTGACAGTACCCTGCAGTACAAAAGATGCGTACACCTTTGAAATAACTTTCCTAGCATTAAATCCTTGGTTCAGTCCTTGTCCCACCCCGAACGCATCATAACCCTCTGGTTACTTCCTAGGTAGATTATCTTTGCCATATATGAGGGTTATGTTGGTTTCTTATATTAAATAGAATTGTTTTATAAACATAACATTAATATTAAAGTGTACGTTGTATAGATGGAATAGTATTGTATTTGTTCCTTGTGATATCGTATGAACTGTAAACAGAAATCAAATAGAAGGAATGAAATAATGTTTGTAGATCCAGACTTTATATTCATCCCCAATAAGAAGTGCATTCATATTTATGAGTTTTGGTTAAAATTCACTCTTGATGTAATCGAACGCATCACTAAGTTTACCAGTAGGAAATAGAAGTTCGCCATGGAATTTCTGCTCTTCGGAATTTCAGTTTCACCAATTGTAAAATTTATTCTGCTAGGTACACCTGATCTGATCTT